GCTCGGGTGTGGAGGACCCTGTGGGTGAAGTGTCTGTCCATGTGGAGCTGTTCACGCATCCGGGAACTGGAGAACAGAAAGTCACAGTGAAGGGTGAGTCGCCTTACAGGCAGGGGACCAAATACAAGCCCATTTAAGCAGAGGAGGCAGGAATTTTTTTTTCTTTTTCTTTAATGGCTTAGAAAATGGGGAAATCCTGAGATAAACCGGAGTAGGGTATGGCTGCACCATGAATTCCAGCCATGTCCAGGCATTGCCGTGGTTTCCTTCCTGTCAGAGAGACTTGCTGGGGAATGGAGTCTATTTCCCCTACCTGGGAAGCCAGAGTATTCATCTGTCACACTGGGGATCCTCACCAGACTTCCCCACTACCCACCCCCCCAACAGTGGTGGCTGCCAACGACCTCAAGTGGCAGACTTCTGGCATCTTCCGTCCGTTCATCGAGGTCAACATTGTTGGACCTCAGCTCAGCGACAAGAAACGCAAGTTCGCCACCAAATCCAAAAACAACAGCTGGGCACCCAAGTACAATGAGAGCTTCCAGTTGTGAGTCGGGCGCTGCAGGGGTCTGGGCGCCCTCGGATGAACCTCGGGGCCAGTGGGCCACCGGTACCCAAGGGTGGTGGGAGGAGCCACAACCAAGGTGCATGTGTAGAGGGACTTTAGGGTTAAGGTCCCTCTGAGACAGGCAGGTCCCTGGGGAGGTCAATGGGCTTGGGGTTGGGGCAGAAAGGACAAGGTGAAGGTTGGACAAGAGGATCTTGGGCACAGGATTGAGGTCACTAGGGTTCGGTGACTGAGAACACAGCCTGCCCCGGTCATTGGTTTTGTCATCTAAAGTAGTTGGCTCTGAGTGTTGTGCGACATGCTGCAGAGGTGGATACTGGGGAGGTACTGGAGGCTGACGAGTGGGGCCCCGGAGAAGTGAGCGGAAGGCAGGGTACAGCAACGCCGGGAAGGGGGCGTGGACAGGAAGGAGAGGCGAGGGAGAGTGAGAGGGGTGGGCTTGGCCAAAGAGGGGTCAGGAGGGAGGCGTGGTGTGGGCGAGGCCCTGGCTGGAGCTCAGCTAGGCAATGGGGTGGCCTCAGCAGCCTGCCCCAAGTGATGCGCTGGGAGGATCCAGTCTGAGCAGTGGTTTTCACTAGTGAGCGTGGCCTAGTTGGCCGGCTCTTTGTCCGAGTGGCCCGACGAGAGTAGAGGGGGTTTGCTTGCCAGCTTCTGAGGGTCACTATGTAGGAACCTGCATGGCAGTGTGCTGTGAGCGGCTCGCAGGTGGCTCCTGTGGAAGTGGCGGTGTGATGTGAGGGGTTCGTTGGTGGGTTCCTGTGGGGGAGACGGTGTGGTGTGAGGGGCTCGCTGGTCACCCCTCGCTAAGTAGGTCGTTCCTCACAGCTCCCTGAGCGCAGACGCGGGCCCCGAGTGCTACGAGCTGCAGGTGTGCGTAAAGGACTACTGCTTCGCGCGCGAGGACCGCACCGTGGGGCTGGCGGTGCTGCAGCTGCGGGAGCTGGCCCAGCGCGGGAGCGCCGCGTGCTGGCTGCCGCTCGGCCGCCGCATCCACATGGACGACACTGGGCTTACAGTGCTGCGAATATTGTCGCAGCGCAGCAACGACGAAGTGGCCAAGGAGTTCGTCAAGCTCAAATCCGACACTCGCTCTGTCGAGGAGGGCGGTGCCGCGCCTGCGCCCTAGCACCAGTTAGGATGGGGCGGGGCCTGGAAGACAACAAGGCCCCGCCCTCCCCAGAGGCCACGCCCCTCCACCTCAGTGGCCTTGACTGAGGAGGCCCGGCCTCCTGCCCCTGGAAAAGCCATAGAGGGTCCGGTGCCCAGCGCATGGGTAGGGCTGCCTGGGAGGTCCGGACGCAGCCTTTATGGTATCTGTGCAAAAAAAAAAAAAAAAAAAAAGTGCGGAATGGGCTCTCAAAAGCACATGCGCCTTCAAGCGCACACCTGGGGCCGAGGGTGCCCCTCCACAAGGACCCAGCCCTCAGCGCAGCGTGCCCACGGGCAGCTGGCGACCCCCACGGTGGGCTGAGCACCGACAGATGGCCCAGCCCCCATCGCTGCTAAGTACCCTTCTCCCTAATTCTTCCCCGAGGTGATCCCCCAGGTCAGGGTCCCCGTTGAATCCCAGGTTGCCAAACAAGATCCCTGTCCAGGCCCTTCCTCCTGGGACTTTAGTCCGAACCCACCTAGAACCTAGAGTTCCGTCAAGAAGAGGGGTTTGGGGCTTCCCCAGAGCCAGGCACCCCCACACCCTTTGTCCTTCCTCCAAATCCAGGCAGGAAAGAACAGAATGAGACCAGAAACTAGGAGGGAGGACATGAATGTGCACTCGGTCCCGTGCTTGTAGTGACAGATGGATGACCCTTTTCTGATTGGCTTGGAACGGCAGTATGTCCCCTGAATTCAGGCACGATCAGGGACATTCAGAACCAAAGGGCAGGATGCAGTCTCCATCCAGGGACAGGGAGCTCATGTCCGAGGACTGGCAGTCCCGACACCGAGCTGAGGAGGGAGTGACTCACTCCAGATCAGACATGGCTAACCCGGAGGTGTTCTGGCAAGAGAAATTTTCTAAAGGGCTGATAAGAATGTGAAGTGGGGGTTTGTGTGTCTGACAGCCAAGACAATTATGTCTCTCTCTCCCCGTCCCTCCCTCTCTTTCTGACCCCATAATGTTGAGGGAATAATGCAGGAGTTTGTTGAATGAATTGTTCTGACTGTTTGGAATTCCCTCTTTTATTTACCCATAGACCCCTATTCATCTCTTAACATTAATTACAAAAATTCCCTCCTGAACAAAACAAAACTTCAAGAACTTCCCCAGCTTCTTGGCCTTCTCTGACTTGGCCCTCATGTCACAAGACTGGAGTGTTTGTACCTGGTTCTGTATCTCCTAAACTAGGCTGAGGCCTCATGGGAACCCCAAGCTTCCCCAGCATTTGAAGGGAGGACCTGCTGACTTGAATATGTATTGAGAGCGGCTGAGGGGTCTGCATGTGACCCCACATCACACACATTTGTCATTGCAATTTCCCCTGCTTTGACAGACACCCACCCATGGCAGGTATCCAGGCTGAGCCCCAGGATACAATAGATGCAGACAGACTTCAGAACAGTCCCTGACATAGGAACGTCCTGCGGATCTGAGCTCTTGCCACCTCCCTTGACACCTGAGTATTAGAACATGCTGGGATATAGTTGCAGACTACAAAGGTCAGGGGCCATTGGAGAAGGGCTGGCCTGACCTGCTGCAGGGAGTTCATGAGGCTGGAAAAGCCACAGCCCTGCCCACAGGAGGCACAGCATCGACTAGAGGGAGATGAGGGGAGCAGAGAAGAGCAGTTGGAAAGATCCGGGTTCCAGGCTCAGCACCTCCCAGTTATGCACTGTTCTGGGTTCTATATCCAACACAGAAAAATTAAAAGGCCCTGAGTCAGCTCACCCCCAGTCTGGAAGGAGTTAGTACTTGAGGGGTGCCCTCTCCACCCTGGGCCCTCTCAGGCTTCAAGGCCTGTCACCTCACCTGCCCTATCAGACGTGCAAAAAAAATCAAATGCATCCAGAGCTCCTTGGGACCTCAGACCTATGTGGCCCCAAAGGCAGCCCTGTTACTGGTGGGGCCATGGGTCCCTCCCTGCCCCCAGCATCTTTCAGGACCAAAGCTGGCTCTGGGGACCTACCTCTCCTCCTCTTTGCTTTTTGTTTTAAAGACTGAATTGGGTTGATGCTGTTGGTGGTACAGGTGACAGAGAGGGCCCCCTATACCCCAGAAGGTTCCTGACTCCAACCCCTGCTGTGCAGCCCAGGGAGCCCCTCAACTAGCCCTTCTTAGCATGTGACTGCAAATGTGACATCAAAGCGTGTCTCTGGTTTTTCCTTTCCTGTTTTGGGGAGGGTTTTTAGGGCCACCCCATTAGTCCAGCATCTTTCCTCATTTCTCAGTCAATCCGTGACTTGGGACAGTGTTCATGAGTGCATGGTGTTGAGATGTTTTGCACTATTCTGACCTTTTGGTCTCTGTAAAAAAATATTTTATTAACATTAAAAAGAAAAGCAGAGAGGATTGGGTGCTAGCTGGTGTTCCTGTACTCCTTTTGATAAAATCCCAGTCAGGGCCCAGGAGATAAAGGCGCTTACCATCAAGTCTGAGGCTGAGCTCAATTCTGGGGAACCCCCACTGTGGAAGATGACTCCGGGAATCGTCCTTTTACCTTCACTGTGTGCATAGCCCCCACCCACCAATAAAAAACAAAAGCAAAAACTAGCTAACTGGGAACCAGCATATTCAGAAGACCAGGCTGTGGCTAAGCTGAAGAGACTAGTCTTGTTCTGGAACAACAGCATGGCCCACTCAGCCAGCAAGCATATTCACACCACCCCAAACCAACCAAGGATTGGAGGTTCAGGGACAGGCGGATGATAGTCCTAGGACTTGCGTACAAGGGTATCTGTCCTGTCTCTAGCTGTCAGTCCCACACAGAGTTGTATCTACTTAGGGTTTACCTACATCAGATGGCTGTGGCCATTCATGAGAGCTGACACAGGAGGGTCCAGCCTGCCAGGAATGGCTCTCCATAGGCAGGTGAGCCTAGGCTGAGCAGAAGCCAGAGCCAGCTAGTCAGCAGGTTCCTCGTGGTTCTGGTCCTGAGCTCCTCTTCAAGCTGTTTTTGCCCTGTTTTGTCACAGGAACTGGGTGGGACCAGCAACTCAGTCTCTCTGTCTCAGGGTCACAGCATCTGCTCTCTGTTGCCTTCTGGTGGGCTCCTTCCATGAACTCTGATAATCCAAACATGGTGTCTGATTTCTTGGGAGTATAGACTGTAATGGCCTCCACAGCATCAGACACTCCCAGGGGTGTTTATGGGGTGGGTTGACGTGAGATGCCAACACATCCTGACCCATACCCCACTTAAGTGTCTGGCAGTCTACACAAGATGTGCCTTCAAGCCCCACTGACCCCCAAATCTTGACTGGCAGCAAGAACACAGGCTTCAATGAAAACCAACCAGAAGTATTTAATACAATCGTAAGCAAGTTACCAAGATCTGAGCAGGCAAGCAGCTGTCCCCAAATGTCTGCTGCCTACTGACATTCAATTTGGCTTTGAAGGCACAATGACTCCCTGGCCCTGCAGGGAAACGTACTGCCAAGGCAAAGGGGAACACCCCAATGCAACTGGGCCACTTCAAGGCCCCCGAACACAAGAGCAGGCAGGGGACACCTGAGACACAAGGGCAGGGAGGAGCTATGGAAGCCTGGGGTAGGCGAGAGCGTTCAAGTCCCCATTATGCACCCTCCAGAAGGGCTTATAAGGCCATGAATACTGTGCAACTCAGCTGTCAAGTGTGAGGAGAGCAATCTCCCTCTGGACAAGGGCTTCCAAAGATGCCGTCTTCCCAGGCAGGCTGAAGGGTGGCTATTCCTCAACTCAACTGGGAGTTCTTGAGGCCTGGCACACACAGGTGCTCAATAAATGCTTGCTACCTGAAGAAACCAATTTTGTTTACTCTCTGTCCTTGCATTCAGCATGCAGCCTGACACACGGGGTGAATATTGCTGATGCTACCATAAGCAAGTCAACCCTATCAAAGAGGTGAGCACCACTGGGACATCTATCCCCAGTACCTAATGAGTGAGTGACACAGTTGGCACTCAACCCAAGGGTACCCAGGACCTGGCATTAGCAGGCACTTGATAGGAATTTTTCCTTATTTCAGTATTCCCAGAGCTGAGAATGGTGCCCAACACACAGTATGCCCTCAATAAAGACTCAAACAGATTTAAAATGATTATGTATCCATAATATCTGATTCAGGCTGATAAATGCCTGATGATCAAATCAATCACCCATGGGGGGGGATCATTATGTCTCCTTCACAGCTCTAGTAAGAAACCTTCCCTCAGGGTGGACACAACAGACTGGGCTCCTTCCTGCCAAATCTCCTGGTGTGCAGCCATGTCCATGGCATACAGTAAGCACTCCATTAATGCTGCCTGTGTACAAGTGGCTGCTGAACAAGACATGGAAATGGCCTGCTTTGGAGCCCTCTGTGGTCTGCCTAGGTGACCCTACAGTCTCAGGCAAGCACATGAGGCTTGGCCCCTGGCAGTGGCCTTGGCTTCTTGCCAGCTCCCTCAGAGCTCATCACGAGCAGCGCTGTCCAGTGGGGACTGAAGCACATCTGAGTTCTTGGCCTCACGGCTCAGTGCCTGCTGTTCACGCATCTTCTGGGACTTGGCTCGGTCCCAGTCAGTCTTAACTTGCTCATTATTCCACACAACTGAGGTCTCTGTATCACTCACATAGCCATCATCCCCTGTGTAGTGTGTAGGGTAGATGAGGAGGGGCTCCACAGAGAAAGCACGCAGGTTGCGGGGAGAGAAGTGAGTCTTATATTCTGACCTAGGGGAGACAGGAGACAGGAGCACATGGGAGATGGAGACCAAGGGGTCAAAAACAGACCCTCCTTCAAGTCCACTAGGGCTCATCCCACCACCTCCAGTCCCAGAGGCCAGCAGTCCCCTACCCAGATCTTCCAGAACTCAAAGACTGCAGTCTGCCACCCAACACCCCTTAAACACCTCCCATAGCCTCCTTACACTGGGTGCTTGTCAAACATGACTGGCAGGAACTCGTCAACAGGCAGCATTTTGGCCAGTGGCTTAGCACCAAGCAGCTTTTGAGCCCCTTGCAGGGAGATCACATATGCTAGCGTCCAGTAGGAGTAATCAGCTTCCACCAAGTTCCTCACCCGGGGCACAGACTTTTCGGGATGCTCCACTTGCATGCGCTTTCGGCCCACATAACTGGGGTGAAGAATCAGACACTTGTCACATGCCTCACTACCTGCCAGAGAATGCTACCCAGAGCATCAAGTACAGGGAAAGTGGACAGGAACCAAGCGAACCCAACAGACACAGAGCTCTGATAACCTCCAAACTCCAGGCCTACTCTGTCCTTAAGCCCCAGGCTGTGCCTCTGAGCCCTGGCCATGCCTAGGTTAATTTCCCATCTGCACCCATCCACCAACCCCCACTTACATGAGGTCCCAGTCCAGCCCCTCACGCTCCACATCCTGCATGAGGCTCATCAGACGTCTCTTGAAGAAGATCTCAAAACGCAGGTCATCCTCAAACACTAGAGACTTCTGTAGTCCCCGGTCCACCACCTGGAGGAAGGTGCCCCACCAAATCACAGAGACCCAGCCAGAGCTGCTGGCTAGGAAGGAGATGTGCATCCCAACCCTCCACATCGAGCTATTTGCCCATAATCTGTCTTTTCCTACTTGCCTAGGCTCTTCCTGCCCCAGACCCTTGCCTATCTCCTGCCTATGAAACCAAGAAGCCTTCCTCTTGGCAACATCAGGCAGGTCCCCCTTTCTCTTTAGTCTAGGATGCTTCACTGCCATCCAGTGGAGCTCCAGACTGCCCACGATGCATTCATGGAGAAGGGTGGTCCACACAATTACCTATTACTTTGGGCATTCAGGTGCCCTTTTTCTCGCACCTCATCATCTGGAGGTAACACCCCACCTACACAGCTACCAATCTGCAAGTCCCAAATTTGGCTGTGCGACATCACGGCACATCACCGTCTATTGTTCTCTAACATATGGCCCAGCGATACTAATGCCAGAAGCCGTCACTTCTATAGAAACAGGGATCAGAATCCCTGGGGGACAAGGAGGTCTCACTTGGGGATCACAGCCCCCAGGCCTCCCCTGCAGTCCTCCTCCACTCCCCAGGCCTCCCCTGCAGTCCTCCTCCACTCCCCAGGCCTCCCCTGCAGTCCTTCTTTCCCCAGGACCACTTTCTGCAATGCAAAGGCAGTGGCTGCCCCACTCAGAAGTATCAGAGCCAATGTGAAGACAATTCATGGGACAGTCACCAAAACACAGCCACAGGTCCTGCTGCTCTAGTCAGGTGGCAGCATAGGGACCATAGTCCCTCCCTAGGCCTCTGGGCCTGACCTGATCCATGAGGACTGTGGGGCCAGGCTCCCTCACCCCAGAAACCCACCTCCTTCCAGATGTTGTAGTGGCTGAGAAAGCAGCCCAGCTCTCCTTTGGTAAGTGGTCGCCCATGGTAGGGGTCCCGGTAGCCAGGCAGCATCTGTATGCCCAGAGCCTCCACCTGGCTGGTGTTCATGGCTCTGGGTGGGCAGGTAAGAAAGAGGACAAGGATGGTGAGGAAAGCAAGGGGCAAGGGGAGGGAGAGGAAGAGGATGGAGATGGGGAGGGGTGAGGTAAAATGTCAGCAGATGTAGCTGTCTACTGATCAACCTCTGCCCTCCTGTTCTGAGCCCACAACCTATCCCATTGTTCAAGAGCATGGCAGCCTGTTTAAGGATGGAAAGGAAAGCCTTCCTGCTTTTCTGGCTGCACTGAGGTTCTACCAGAGTTGGCTCCATTCGCATCTCTTTTATGTATAAGCATATGCACACACGCACGCGCGTGCGCGCAACATACTTGCCATCCACAGCCTCCACAAGCCGGCAGTCAATCTCCTGCTCGTGCAGGGCCCGCAGCATGCGCTCTCGCCGGTCCCGCCTCCTCTTCAAGTTGATCATGAAGACCTGTGAGGGAAGTCTCAGTGAGCCCCAGATCAGATGGCTGCCTCTCCCATGGAGGGGGGGCACGCAGCCCACCTCATCGAAGCCCATCTTGTCTGCAGTCTTGCTGGGTGCTGAGATGAATCTGGATAGCTGCACTGGCGGATGCTTCACTGAGGGGAAGAAAGTGGGGGTCACCAGGGTCATATGACCCCATGCCCTCCAACCTTCCAGCCATTGACACCAGCTCCCAAGTGGCCCATTCCTGCCCCAGGACCTTCAACCATACCATACTGAGGCCCAGAGCAACTCAGGCCTCGGCTATGACAGCGGGGCAGCCTCTGGGTCTCTGACTGCTCAGGCTCCTCTTTTGGACCCATAGTGTCAGGCCTTGGAATTCAAGGCCTTGCCCCTGCTCTCCTAACTCCATTTCTAACATCTTGGGAGGAATATAGGGTTGTCCACTCACATTGGACTCCCAGTGCCTATCATGGAGCCTGGTAAACAGCAGGTGCTCAATAGCTGCTGCAGAATTACCCCAGTGGTGTATGTGTGATGATTTCAGCAATCCAGCCCTGCTCTCCCCAGGTGTACACTCAAGCTTCGCAGAAAGACTGTGAGTTTCACACCGGCTGCTTCACTCCAAATGTGTCCCCCTAAACGCTACATGGGTGTACGACCTTCGTGAGTTCACTGCAAAACAGGATCAGTTGTTCTGGCTAGGATCTCAAGCCATCCCTTGGCCTCAGCCTCCTGAGTCATACCCTAGAAGCACCCATTCTGGTCATGGGGTGCATGCAAGACAGCTAAGGCTATGGCCCAAGGAGACTTACCCATGACCTCCAGCTGCACGTGCATGAAGCTCTCCGCCTCGTCCTGCAAACTGCTGTATGCACGCAGTGGCACGGGCAGGAAACCATACACCTCCTTATTGCACACATACATCTGCACCTCTGAGAGCAGGGACAAGAGACAAGTCCGTGTGTCATATGCCCGTCATCCCTGTGCTAGCCTGGGCTGCGTGATACCTCAGCTCAATCAAAAAGTTACTATTCTTCATTTCAGACTTTGGTCGTTCTTTAAAAGATGTAAATACTGATTTTGGTTTGTGAGTGTTCAAAAGCAAAGTGAGAGCAGGCTCTCACCAGTCAGGGTACCATACTCTGGTGGAGAATTCACAAGAGAGCCAGACCACCTCCCCCCACTGCTGGTTTTCCAGACAGGGTTTCTCTGTGTGGCCCTGACTGTACTGGAACTCACTCTGTATTCCAGGCTGGCCTCGAACTCACAGAGATCCACCTGCCTCTGCCTCCTGAGTGTTGGGACTAAATGCATGTACCACCTCACCTGAAGATCTGAGTCCCATCCCCAGGACCCACAGTGGAAGGAGAGAACTGAGGCATGTAGGTTTCCCTCTGACTTCACATCACACACACACACACACACACACACACACACACACACACACCACATACACCACTCATACACCACATACACCACACCCACCCACATACCACACCCCCACACCACACACATACACCACCCACACCCACACCACACCCACACACACACACATACTCACAGACACACACATTTGGGAGAAGTCAAAAGTAGTATCTATACATGTCTATTGTTGTTGTTAGGTATGGGATCTCACTGTGTGCCAGAAATTTACTATCCTGCATCAGCCTCCCAAGTGCCAGGATCAGAGCTGTGAACCACCACACCTGATGATCAATAAACCTTAAGGAGTAGGGAGTGCCAGGCATTGGTGGTACATGCCTTTAATGCTAGGGTTCCGGAGGCAGAGGCAGGTAGATCTCTTTGAGTTCAAGGCCAGCCTGGTCTACAGAGTGAATCAAGACAGCCAGGTCTGTTTGCTGCACAGATCCCGGGCAGAGATCCGGGCGACAGCAGAGCCTCCCTGAATACAGCTGTGCCCGAGGCACTTGCTCAGTATGGAACCCACACAACCAGTGGGCACCCAGCCTCACTCACCTGCCTGTTTGCAGGAGAAGGCAAAGACAATGATGTCGTCAAAAGACCAGGTGTAGTCAGGGTGTGGCGGATAGAAGGCCAGGTTCCTGGATGCGGCCTTACGCAGGTCAATGAGAAAGGTGGAGTGCACCATGGGAACTGCAAAGCAGCCTCTGCGGTCTCGCTTTCGGATGGGGATGTAGGCAGGGGTGCGCTTGTAGTAGCCCTGTGGGGAAGTGGGGGAATCAAGGGGCGCTAGAGCCCACAGTGGGGTGCCATGATGTGGGCATCGAGCTACAGCAAGTGTGCCCAAGAGCCACATGGCCTCTAGTAGCTCCCACTGTGGACTCTCACCTTGGAGTCACTCCCCAGTTGCCTGAGGCTACTGGATTGAGCCACATATGAAGGCCCTCCTGGAACTGCCTCTTCCTAGGTGTTGACAATGTAAATTTGAGCCAGTCTCTCACTCTCTCACTGCTCCTGCTTCAACCTCAGTAATGAAGGGTCGGGGTCACCTGCAGAACCACCCCAAAGCTTGTCTGTCAAGAGCTCAGGCCGCCTGTCTTTGTCCTGCCTACCTGGGAAGTCATTCCGCACCAGAAGTTGGAGTACGCTGCTCGGGAGTCCAGCATTGGGGCCACCACAGTCTTGTTCTCAGCGATGAGAAGACTCAGAGTGTCAGGGTTGGTGATCAAGTTGTCACTGTCCACAAACTGAAAGGTCACCTGCTGTCAGCATGACGAGGCCATCCCAGGGAGACCTTAGTCCTCTCAATGCCTCCGATGGGCTGCAGAGATGCTCAGCAGCTAAGAGCACTGGCTGCTCTTGCAGAAGATGTTGGTTTGGTCCCCTGAACTCATGGTAGCTCACAACCATTTGTAACTACAGCTACAAGGGCTCTGACTCCCTCTTGTGGCCTCCATGGGCACCAGGCAGGTATGTGGTACACAGATATACATGCAGGTAAAATATTCATTTATACACATAAAAAAATAAAATAAAAAGAACTGAGTTGTGAGGCCAGGGCACAGCTCAGTGTGACAAAGTGACTGCTGCACACCCAGCCCCTGTGGAGAAAGCTGTGTCTTGTGTGCAAGGATCCCAGAACTGTGCACGTGGAGACAGGAGCTGGGCCAGTGGGTTCCTGCAGCTTCAGAGACCCTGACTCAGACAGTAACACACAAGTAATTAATTTTACTTCTTTATTATTTAAAAATAAAACTCTGGCCATCAGACTGGAAGCGCAGCTGATACCCAGGTCTGGGCTCCACCACAGTGTGCTGCAATCTCGCGTCTCATTACACACACACACCCCAACCCCAGGCCCCCACACTTTAGACTCAGCCTGCACCAGAGCTCTGGTCCCCATCAACTGTTACCTGCACCTCCCCGCCACCCAAAACCAGGCTCCATGGTTCCCTGGGAGTCCCCAGCTGGGGAAGCAGCTGTCCTGGAGAGCTTTGGGGTCAAGCTAGTCCCACCTAGTCCCTGCAAACACGGGAATATTGTGTGAGCCAGGGCAGCCTGGCAGTGCCTCCAAAAAATAGAGAAAGACAAACCTAACTTTCCATCCTGGAAGATAAACCCTAAAGAATGGAAGGAATAGGTTCAAATATGTCACCCATCACAGCAACCAAAAAGTGAAATATACAGCCGCCCCGAGCAGACGGACGCCATGATTTGGAATATTACTCAGCCACTAAAAGACAGACACACCGATGTTAGGATGGTCTCTTTGTACACGGTGTGAAGATGTCTGTCTTTCCTCACCTGCCTAAGGCACCTTCTGATTGGTTTAATATGAAGCCAGCCTGGTCTACACAGCTAGTTCAGGATAGCTGGGGCAACACAGAGAAACTGTCTCAGAAAAACAAAAATCAAAGAAAAGGTTAATTTAGTGTTAGGTAAGCTGCAACTCAATTAAACCAAACAGCTACAAAATATCCTCATGGCAGGCAGCTGGGCTTCACCTGCTCCAACACATAACACCCACAGCTTCTGCAGGAAGAGGAAAATGAGGAGTTCTAGTAACAGTGGGCCTTAGCGGTATAGTGGCGCCAGGTGGACCTCTGAGATTAAAGCCAGCCTGGTCAACAGAGCAAGTTCCAGGACAACCAGAGCTACACAGAGAAACCCTGCCTTAGAAACAAGAAATAAACAAATAAATAAATGGATAAACAAACAAATGAATAGCAAGCCTGGTGTGATGGTCCATGCCTGCTGCCCCAGCACTCAGAGACAGAGGCCAATGGATCTCTGTGAGTTTCAGGCCAGCCTGGTCTACAGAGTGAAAAGTTACATTAAAAGAAAGCTAGAGCTGGAGAAACGCCCAGTGGGCTTGGATTCACTTCCCAGCACCCACACGGCAGCTCACAGTTGTCTGGAACTCTATTTCCAGGGACTCTGACACCCTCATGCCATAAAATCAGATAAATAAATAAACAAACATTAAGAAAATGAAAACCCCTGCTGCAGCCAGAGGCCCACAGAGCACTGTACTAACCCCTGCTGCAGCCAGAGGCCCACAGAGCACTGTACTTGGCTGGAATTTAAGTTACTGCTTGGGCTGCGTCAGCCTTTTGTGATGGCGACCTTTTGTTTCATTCTTCTTAGGAGTTTTTCCTGAAGGAATCAGTCTTCCTTCCCAAGTTAAAAGAGACCTCCCAGAAAACCAAGAGGTCTCCTGACTGAGAATTGCTTGGGGAGATGGTTCCTTCAAACAACTAGATAAGAGGTTAGAGTACTCAGAAACTGAGTTGCTGAGAGGAGTAAATCTCCTAGCAACACAAAAGGTTTCTACAGAGCACGGGGCACCATTCGGGTAAATCTGAAATTCACCCTGGAGAGACTCTTTGCTTCCATGGAAGTATTCCACACTCCTGTGCTATGCTCCAAAGTTCCTAGAACCAAAAAGTAGAACTTACTGTAAAAAGCTTGTGTTAACCCTCACAGTGACCTCCGGCCAGGCTGGCAGAGGGACTGTGAAAAGAGCCAATACCAAACTACAAAGCCAAAAGCAGGGAAGGAGACAGTGTCTGTTCTGGGAGGTTCCAACAGGTTCCACAAAGTTCTAGGAGCTTCTAGAGGCTCAAACCTGGGACAAGAACCTGAGGTGCCTATTTAAAGTATCAAAGTGGACATGGCTGCCAGGCTCTCCCAGCATCCCTCGGTCCCTACATGTTCCAGGGCATGGCGGGCACAGCCTCCTTCCACTCTGAAGTCTCCAGCCCTGGGGCTACACTGCCCTTCCCCCAGAGGCTCTTCCCTGTAGAATCCAGATGTTGTTACCTGTCCTTTTCTGTACCTTTGACCTCCTGGCTGCAGCACCTGGTTCCCCTGTCTCCTACAGTTCAGTCTGTAGTGCTCACTCCAGACTCTCCCAGATGTTCCTGCCTCTGGCTAAGTTCTCCATTTATCCACAATAAACCTTCTCCACCACACCTAGGAACAGCCATGTCCTTCCTTTTTGTTTTTCATTCATCTGGGGCTGAAACCCAGACACAGCATAAATGAGTTCCCTCTTCACGGAACTTGGCTGCTCTGACTCTACTAAGCTATGTACAGACCATTTGCTTCTGCTACCTTCCGCCGCCCAGCAGACTATTCTAGAGTCCACTCAAGCTGCTTCCTCCCTCCTGTTCTGGCATCCACAGACCCAGAGTCTGGAATGTTATGGTGGAAGTTCCACCCAAACCCCTCCCCTATCTCCATCCAAACCCTGCTGCATCTCAGAAAACCTGCCAAATGATGACCCCTCCCCTAGAGATGCTCAAGACCACTCCCACAGGGTATTTAAACCGCCCCCAGAAACTAGACCTGTGGTTTTCCAATCTCTCCCGTCTCATCTCTGGGGGGGTGGGGCTGGAAGGCCACTTGCAAGTGTTGTATCTATTAAACATGGGCTTTTTCTAATTCAGTTTGATCTGGTCTGATTTGGACTGCTGCATCAGTGGAGAAGAGGTATAGAAACTTTTTACCTCCACCTTATCTAATTGTCCATCTCTCCTCATCTATTCAGTAAGTGTCCTCTCTAGCTACACCCCTTTTGGGGCAATCACCATGAGGGCCCCGCCATAGGGGCAATTCTACCTGCTAAGGGACGTCTCTACCTGCTCTAATCACTGGTCTCTCCCTTTCTAAGGAGTTTCCTGCTTCTACCAGGGAAACCACACACACACACACACACACACACACACACACACACACCACATATACTGGTGTACCAGGAAGCTTCCTCTCGCCTTACTGGGCCCCCCTCATGTGGAAAGGGATGCCTGACCTCTGTGACTTGGGACATTTCTCTCTGACAAATCTCTCAGTCCACTTGGGGACGCCCTGGATTGAAATTCTTGGGCTCCTCAGTTCCTTCCCAGAACCTCCCTACCTCCTCTTGGGGTCGTCAAGCTTCCCTTGCCCCCTTCCCCTCAGAGCTACCTGTTCTTTCTTGTGCCCTCCTAGGCCAGTACATTGCCAGTTTCCTCGCCTCCCCTGAGAGCTGCCTGTTATGTCCTCACGGCTTTGGCAATTCCTCCCTCAGGTGAGTCCCTGCTTGTCCCTATGGCTGCACTGTCCTCTGTCTTTGCTGCCTAGCCCTTCCTATGGCAGAGTTCTTTTGTGATCCTTCCTCCTTCGCTCCTCAAACTCAATTCCTTTGACCTCAGAGATTTTCTTAAAGCTTTTGCTATCCTCCTGAGATGGCATACTGTAACAACTTCTGCTACCACACAAGTAAATGATCCTGAAGTTTCTCATCTCAGAAGGTTCTACAACTTCCCACTCTTAAATCTTTTACCTCTACAATTTCTCTGTGCCCTGCTCTCAAATTTTTTAAGACTACTATGTAACCAGTCTTTATCTCAGTCTTGATTTCTAAGTTTATTGGGTATAGGTAAAGAATCTGTAACAAAATTTGACTTAAAGCTTAAGCAAAAGGCTTAAAAATAAAACCTACCTGTGGGAATCTACCCCCCACCCCCAAACTGGGTTTCTTTGTGTAGCTCTGTAGACCAGGCTGGCCTTGAACTCAGAGATCTGCCTGTCTCTGCCTCCCGAGTGCTGGGACTAAACGTGTGTGCCACCAAGACCTGGCTCACACATGGGAATCTTAATTTGCTATAATATCCTACATATGTGATTCAACTCTTATCTAGACTAAGCTGTGTATGTAAATAGGTTCAACTCTTGTTTAGGAAAGCAGATGTTTTAAATAGCAACCATGTTGCTCTCCTCCATCTTGGCTAATGACCTTCAAGATGTAAGCAGTCACATGACTGATAGCCATCTTAACTAAGATTAAAGGGTACACGCCATGTGACTTCACCATCTCAAGATGACCACATGACATAAGCAACAATTACAAAACTTCTGGGGCAGGGCATTGGTGGCACACGCCTTTAGTCCCAGCACTCGGGAGGCATAGGTAGGGGGGGATCTCTCTGAGTTCCAGGACAGGCTCCAAGGCAATACAGAGAAACTCTGTCTTGAAAAACTAAAACAAAAACAAAACACAAAAACTTCTGAACCCTTAGTTTATCACTGTCTCTCCTTTTAGACCAAGGAAACAATTCTCTAACATATTTTGTATTGGTATGGATTTCTGTGTGATGATAAGCTTTAATGTTATAAAAATCTGAGAATAGCTAGCTGATTTAGGATGTATGTGTCGTAGGATGCTAACTAGTCAGCACCAAGCTGCTAGAAAATTTAAGTAAGTAACAATGCATGTTTTTGATAAATAAGGTAATTTGTACATTCCTAAGGTGTACTCAGGTTCCCAGTGATGTTTACCTTCTGTCTTTGCTCATTTCATTTCACTACTTGGATAAACTAAGCCATACAAAACCTGCAATATTCAGATTGATGTCCTATAAAAAGATCGTAGAGTTGCCAGTTTGTCTATGGACTGTATGATTAAAAAGTTTTATTTTGATACTAGAAGGCTTCATTTCAAAAATTGTTATTTTTTTAAGATGAAACCCAACAAGGCTAGAAGATGGAATGTTTCAAAGTTAAGCCTTAAACCAGGTATACTTAACAGATGGTCCTCACACTCTCCAGAGCACAGACTCAAAAGTGCTTCTCACTGTGCTAAAACACCTGTCTAGTCCACCTTCAGGCTAGAGGAAAGTGTAATCTTTTAACCAAAATCATTTTTGAGTTCCCAAACATCTGTGACTCAAGGTGTGAGTCTGCTGCCTCTTCTACAGTTTGGTTTCGTAGGGATTGCAAACCGTGGGAATGCTGACATATCTAAAACTCACCTCCTTTTATCAACTTAAAAATCATTGTAAGCTTTAGGGAATCGACTTGGATCCACGTCTCACATGTCAAATGGACTCCACATAAGTACCGTCAATCAACAGCCTATTTTCCAGACTGCCTGTTCTTAAAGATGGATTCTCTTCCCCCTTTCCTTGGTCTTGGGACTTCCCTCTCCCAGCTACCAGGACCATGGGCCTAAAAGTATCAAATGTACACCTAAGAAAAAAAAATAAACTCCTTGACTTTATTTTTGCCCCCAATATGTATGTATGTATGTTCCAGCAGATTTACAATCAATTAAATACTACAACTACTCCGACAGCTGCCTACAGGTCCCTAATCCCAGATGGTCCCATACAACCTGCTCTTCTCAGACCTGGCCAGCATTCCATCTTTTTTGGGTCCCAAACAAGAATGCCCTAGTGTCCACAGGAAGTAGTCATAAATGATTAAACTGCCCCTTATCATTCATTTATTATCAACAAAAAAGCTGGGATGTCAAGTTCCAAACCTGGGACGCACAGCTGAGGTGCCTGTTAAGGTATCACAGTGGACCTGGCCGACAGATTCTCCCATCATTACTCAATCCCTACCGTATACGAGAGACCCCAGCAACACTACACAAGGAAAAACGATGCAGGTTAAAATGAGGGAGCTCCTGCCAGTTATCTCAGCAACTGGGAAGCTGAGGCTGAAAGACACAGGTTCCAGGCTAGTATAAGCTACACAGCAAGGAAGTACAGCAAGCAATCAACCCATCAGTAAACAGAATACATGAGACCCTGGAATCCAATGCAGCCACTCTCAGGACTGCAAGCCACATGCCTGAATCCACTGTCTGAACAGAAGGGCCCCAAGGCTAGTCAGGGCAGGGGACACTCAGACTCATGTTGTATACACACACACACACACACACTTATTCACTGGGGATGGAAGAGATGGCTTGGCAGTTACAGCACTGGCAATTCCCAGCACCCACAGGATGTCTCAGCCATCTGTAACTCCAGTTCCAGGGGACATGACACCATCTTCTGACCTCTACAGGCACCAGGTACACATGTGCAGCACAAACAGACATGCAGGGAAAACACCCATAAACACAAAATAAAAATAAATTCATCTAAATGGGCGTGGTGGTACACACCTTTAACCCTAGCACTCAAGAGACAGAAACAGGAGGATCTAAGTTCTAGGCCAGCCTGGTCTACAGAGCAAATTCCAGAATGCCCAGGGCTACATAGAGAAACCCTGTCTCAAAAACAAAATCACAAATGAATAAAATAAATCGTTAAAGAAAGGGGGGTGTGGGCATGTGAGCGCAGGGACAGCACAGGCCAGAAGGGGGCACCAGATTCCTCAGGACCTGAGGTTAGCTGCTTATGAGCAGATCCAGTGTCCTCAGCAAGAGCAGCCAGCCCCAGAGGCTTCCTCCTCACAGGCTACTGAAAATCAGGAAGAGGAAGTCAGGCCTTAGCCACTGCTTGACACTTACTAGCTCCCGGTGACCCTTAGTGCTCCATGGCAGGGAGGGGTTGTCAATCCCCAAGACCCTCAGGGTGGAAGAGAGAAATACTCTTGCAAGCTGTCCTGACCTGGCACACCCCTCACACACAAATAAATAATGTGATTTTTAAAACATACAATGTAGCTGGGCGGTGTCTGTGCCAGCCTATAATCCCAGCACTCAAATCTCTGTGAGGCCAGCTTGGTCTACATAGCTAGTTCCAGGACAGCTAGGGCTATTACACATAGAAACCCTGTCTCAAACCCTCCCCCCAAAAGATAATGTAGTGCCCAAGCCCAAGGAGATACAAAAGCCAACTTGTTCTTTTTGGGGAGTCTGGGATGGGACACAGGCCTCCTCCCTTCCCCCGCCTCCTCCCCTTTTTGTGAGACACATTTCTCTGTGTAGCTCAGTGGGGGGTTACTCATGGCACCTAATCCACTCTGGATAGCACCACCTGTCCCACTCGGAACTCACCATGATGTAATCAGCCCACATGTCCCGAGCCGCCTTTAGGGCCGCTTGGCGCAACTTCATCACATGCTGATACCGGGAGTCAGACCAGTGTTTGGGGCCCTCCTCATCTGGGTAGGAACTGTGAGAAAGGAGCCGTGATGTGGGCATTGTGGGGCAGTACGGGGCCCCCCAGAGCACCAAGTCACATCTGGAGGGCTCACAGCTTCACAGAGGATAAAGCAGAACTGCAGGTCTCCAAGGAGAGCGTGGGGAAAGAAGCTAAGGGAGCTGAGGACCAAGGAGAGCTGTGTGGCTAGAGCTCCCAGGCCATCAAGGTGCTTCTGGGCACAAGAACAGGAGAGCCCACAGCAGATTACTGGATGCAATCCCACCAGCTATGTTAGTGTATGGGAGTGGAGATGGGTGATTCCAGCCCTAGGAGTCTGAGGCAGGAGGATGGCAAGTTCCAGGCCAGCCTGAACTACACAGTGAGACAGGCTCATCATGAAGTTAAAGAAGAAAAGTGGTGTTGGTAACACTCTGAGGCAGGAACTGCAGCAGATACAAAGGAATTCTGCCATGGAGGTGTGGCAGGTCTGCATCCAAGGCTGGACAATGGAGGGAAAGACAGTGAGGACAAAGGTCTGCTGGAGGGTCAGGCTCTGCTGGCGGAGCCCAGGGTGGGGTAGGACTTGCTGGGCCTAGCTTCTTGGGTTTGGGTGCTGCTGTGGGGACCAGAGGCTCACCTGGGCTCCTCTGCTGGTCGCCACTCCACAGAGTGGTACAGACCCTTCACAGCCACCAGCCACTCTCGAAGTATGGCTGAAGTGTTGTCAGTGTTGTGATCCGTGGCCACCCTGTGAGCATAAGGGGTGATAAGTCAGAGCAGTAGGGAAACAAAGGTAAGCCGAGAAATAAAAGGATGGCACAGCTCCATGCAGGCTCGGTCCCCACCAGCTACAAGGCCCTGGATAAAGCACCCTCCATTGGGGCCTATTGCCTATTGCCCAGCAGTAACAAGGCAGTGAATTCGACGCCCAGCTGCTACACAGCCGAATGAAGCCTGCTAGTTTATAAAGCACACTGCTGTGAGGCCCTGTCACAAAGAAAAACTATGTAAAAGAAAACTGAGTCAGGGTCTCTTCATGGCTGCCTCATGTAAAGGGTCCATTTGTCCCTGAGGCCTTGTGGTCTCTTCCTGTACTCTCAGGTCACACTGGGGTCTGACTGGGTTTGGAAACCTGTTAAGTTCATTGACTTTATGTTAGCTCCAGCCTGAGCTTGGGGCGCCTGATCTGGAAGCTGCTGACGCTACACAGTGCGCGCTGGAAGAGGTCTGAAAGCACCAGCCTGGCCCATTCTGAGAGAGTCTGGGGGGTCCTAGGGTCGCCGCTCGCTGTGAGGGCTGGCAGCAACCCAGAACCTGGCGCGGAGGGGGGCAGCAGCTCTGGGTCCCAAGCAGCAATGGAGACGGAACCGGTACTTCAAGTACATAGTCGAGTTCCCGGGTAGAAAACCGAGTCTCTGAAGTGCAGAGCCGAGTCCACCAAGTGCAAAAGCGCGTCCCTCGGGTTACAAAATCGAGTCCCCCGGGTGCACAGCCGAATCCCCCGAGTGCATAGCCGAGGCCTTGTGCACGGCGGGCCCAGAGCTCACCACAACGCCGTGCGCTCCCGTGGGTGGCGCAGCCGCTCCAGGGCGCCCAGCGTGGCCGGCAGTGCGGGCGCCGCGTTCCGCGCCAGCAACGCGATGAGCACGCGCGGCGCCTGCAGCGGGGACTCGGGGTTCCAGCGCTCCTCGGGAAAGTAGCCGTCCGCACTGCGCGGGCCTCCCAGCGGTAGCAGCAGGAGCAACGGCAGCAACCGCAGCCCTCGCAACCCGCCGGGGAACGCCGCCATCGCGCCACGCGTCGCCTTTAAGCCACTTTTCTGCCGGCTGAGGGCAGCGCCTTAAGGGGGAGGGGAAGAGGGATTATCCAAATCCCACCCCTGCCTCGCCCCTTAAAGGGAAGGTGCTCTCGGGCCGTGCTGTGAGTCCTTGGAGAATGGGCCCGACAAGGCCACGCCTTTAAAAGTTAACACAGCTTTCCGGCCGACCGCGCCACCACCACCACCCTCTAGTGACCGCTGCTAGTAGGGTGCCTCCATAGCCCCGCCCCCAGCTCACATCTTAAAGGGGCAGAGATGTCCAGTGACGGCGCCCTGGAAGTGTTCCCTGTATTGTGAGCCCTCTCTTTACAGAGGCGTCTAGTTAGGACCATGTCATCATCATTTCCTCAGTTGCGACAAGGTTATTTTCGTTTGTTCGTTGCTTTTGAATTACATTTGAAGAGGCCAGCGAAAAGAATCAGTGGGTAAAAGTGCCTGTTGCCACGCACGTCATATCGCCCTGAGTTCTTCTGGAACTAACCAAAACTGTTTTTCTCTGACCTCCGCGGTTTATGTGTGCCTCCTCACCCTCTTTTTACATTTTCATTTTCTGTGTAAGACTGTTTTGTCCACATGTATGTCTGTACACCATGTGCATGCATGGAGGTCAGAAGGCTAGAACTGGAGTTACAGGCGGGTGTGAGCCACCATGTGGTGCTGGGAATCAAATCCATTCCTAGTGAAGAGCAACAAGTGAACTTAACCTATGAGCCACATTTCCAGCTCCCTGAATGTAACTTCTTTCCTGTTAAATTTTATTTATTTGTGTCAAGGAGTGGATATGGAAGTCAGAGGACAGTATTTGTGTCTGTGTGTCTGTGTGTGTCTCTGTGATCCTCCTAGTGTAAGAAACGAAACATGATTGGGTATTTCTGGAAAAAGGTACTCATTCTGAGTGGATGGCAGGGCAGGCTAACTTGGTTGATGTTGGGACATATGGGTGTCAGTTTGAGAGCATGTTTGACAGTTTTATTAAAAAAAAAAAAAAAAAAAAAAAAAAAAAAAAACCCTCAGTACTCTGTGGATTTCATGAAATCTCATACCAAGGAAGTAAATCGAGAGTGGGTTTCTTCCCCTGGGAAGGACTTGGCTCTGGTACCCACAGCTGCTCTCAAAGGCGGCTGGAGGGTATTTCCAGAATTAGCATCTGCACTCCAGCCTGGGTCTGGGTGAACCTAGAGCTATGCAGGATGAGTAAATTTAAAAATTAAATGTCCTGGTGCTGAGGCCAGGATCTGATACAGCCAGATTGCCTGGGTCTCTGGCTTCCTCTGGCTCTGTAGGGAGCATTGGGGAAATTCCCTTGAACCTTCTGGAAGCAGCTAGGGGTGGCAACCCTGGAGAGCCAGGCTGAGGGGATCAACAGCAGTGCTGGACTGGAAGCCAGGATAGAGGATCCCAGAGGGCTGGGCTGGGGGTGGAACTCTAAACAATCAAGCACATAGCCCTTGGCATTTTAAAGCTCAATTTAGTCATTGAAGCAGTTACAAATCAAACTGAGAGCCACAGGGTGGCCTCAGTGTAAAAATGCTTGCAGCTTAACCTGATGATCTGAGTTCAATCCTTAAGACCCACTTGTTGGAAAGAGAACCCTGTAAGGAGTAAAGTTTCTCCTCCCGTTGCCGGTCTTGTCCCGCCTTCGCACCAGCCCCAAATAACACACTGAGACTCTGTATTTGATATAAATTTGTTGGCCAGTTACTTGTTTCTTATCAGCTAGCTCTGTCTTAAGTATTAACCCATTTCTATTAATTTTCACACGGTCTTATCTTACTGGAGAGAAAGGCCGCCAGTGTTCTACTCTCTCTTTTATCTTGACTCCTCCTTTCTCTTTCCTCCTCATCTCCTAGTCCCGCCTATCTTGCTTTCCTATTGGCCAACAGAGCTTTATTCTTTAACCAGTATGAGAAACATATTTACAGAATGACATCTCCCATCATATTCTCTTTTCTGTCTAAATAAAAAAAAAAAGGGTTTTAACCTTAACATAGCAAAATATATAACACAACAGTTATCAAGAATCACAGTTAACAATATTTAGTCCATTAACATTTAGCAAGATTAAAAGTTGTCCTCTGATGGCCACATGCCCCCCCCCACATACACAAATAAATTTTAAAAGAAATTTTTTAATTGTATGGCTTTTTAAAGTAAAAAAGTTAAAAAAATTAAATTAATGGGATTACATGTGTCAAATCAAGAGAGATTTGGGGGCTTGTTTTTTTTTTTTTGTTTTTGTTTTTTTGTTTGTTTGTTTCTTTACAATGTCTTATTATGGTAGCCCAGAACTTGAGTGTACAAATTCTAGCAGGAACACAGAATCTATGATGCTTTGTTGAATTGCAGCAATTAAAAATCCAGAAGCAGCTCACATACTTGGGTCTTCATCCATTGTCCCCAGAATGGGTGTGGGCAAAGACAGCTGGGGTGTTCTTGGCACCTGAGTAGACCTCTCCATCTCAGACCTGAGCCTCAGCTCCCTCATCTGTGGAAATGGTAACTGTCACATAGATGTCCATGTGACAAGCTGAAGGTAGGGCCTGGAGCAGGGGCAGGGCTCACAAAGCAAGAGGGCCTGACAAGCTGTGTGGCAGTGGACTGGCAGGCAGGAGACAGGCTGGAGAGCCTGTGGAAATGCCAGCCTGCCTCTGCAAACTCTGAGATTCCGTGGGAACTCACCCATAAGACTGTGTGCACACAGTGACAGGCTCAGGTCCACCCACCCACTGGTGTATGTGGCAGGTGGAGGCATACTCAAGTAATTATCTAATTAACTAAATAGGTCCACATCAAAGTCAGAGTATCTGAGTCAGCTATGGTTGCGTAACAAGTAAGCCCAAGTTACCTTGCCTCAATGTAATGAGATATTCACCTTGTCCATACCTGTGGCATAGACCACGCCCATGTGGGGTGGAGACAGGGCTGGACGTGACCTGGGGGAACTAAGGCTGAAGAGGGGGCACAGAGAGCAGCTCTCTTGCTTGCACTTCTGGAGGCATCCTTGGGACCAGGAACCTGCTGGTGTTATCTGTCTATGTTGTGAGTTATTTCTCCCTGAATAAACATCTATTGGCCTATTTGTTTCTCCTGATCCTTATTAAATATCAATACCTCAACAATTCTTTGCTGACCATCACTATCTCCCCTCCCACAAGCCTATCACTATGTGCGTGTCACAGCCTGTGGCTTCTCCACCTGTTCACCATGACTTTGCCAGCCTGGCCACTTCAGGAGATGAAGCTCATTTTGTTCCATTCACTCTACCATTGCCACACTTCTATATACCCTGTGCAACCCCACAGCCATTCCTTGTTGTGGCCCAGGAACAGTGAGGTGCTCACCTACTCCTTGGTTCCACCGGGCTACTGAACAGTCTGCCGGAGTGCAGGCTCTGTTACTGGCACCAAGAATCCTTTTCAACTCTAGAATAAGAGACATTGCTAATCAATAGCTGCTCTCCACCTAGCCAGGAGACTGGCAGCCCCACCTAACTGCTGTTCTGTGCAGACTTCACAAATCAATAGCAGTGGAGCTCCCTAAGGATGTACACAGGCTCCAGGTTCAGAAGCCCATCTAGGCCCCCACTTCTTGACTTAGTTTGCAGCCATTTAAAACTTTTACTCTTGGAAGTAGATGGCTCAGCAATTGAGAACACTGTCTGCTCTTCCAGAGAACCAGGGTTCCATTCCCAGCACCCACACAGCGGCTCACACCATCTGTGACTCCAGTTCCAGGAGATCTGAAACTCTCACAAACAGATATGCAGGCAAAAAAATCAATGCACATAAAAATAAATCCTTAAAAATCATTCTACTTTGCTGGGCATGTGGGTTCAGGCACTTGGATGCTGAGGCAGGAGGGCTGGCCTATGTCACCACCTCAGCTCCATTTCTCTTGCTTGGGCCCAGCCTTATTCTATCCCCTGGCTCCTGGGAACTCTGTCACCCCTGGGTTCTACCACTTATCAAACCTTCCTAGTCCCTCTTCTCTCTGCTGTCTTCAAAGGCTTTGTGCACTTCTGGAAGCTCCTGAGCAAACTCCAGACCAACATTCTGGTACCAAGTACAACTGCTTCTCTCTCATCTTCCTGAGAACCCCAATATCCCCGAGAATGTCATTACAGTACCCCCTCCAGGGAACCCATCACTGTCCTCCCAGGACCCCTCAAGTCCTGTGCAAGCATCTACAGGGCATGACAGGGACTGAGTGAGGCTGCACTGAGCTACAGCTGGGGAACTCACCTCCATCAATTCTCTGCAGAAGGGAGCCCTGGATGACGTCCCTGTAGACACCCTCAGTGGTCAGAACCTGACAGTCCATGGCCAGGGTATCCCCATCCACCTCAGGCTGTTCCTAGGACCACAGTAAGGAGCTTGGCTAGATGCAGGACTTATGTGCTCCCCCAGCCCTGGCCAGATCTGCTGGAACACTCTTGTTTCCCTCTCTGTAACATGGACATGCTTGCCCACAGTCCCACATGCCATAGCATATGCCACAGTGTCAGAAATGGACTAAGGCCCACACAGCCATCCTACCTCCCAAGTGTGTCAGCCAAGACCTAACCATAGCTACTTTCTCTGAAGAGTCCCATTAGCATCTAAGTCACACCCATACTTGCTGGTCCTGACTTTAAGGTAGCCAGAAGCTGAGTCCTCCCCACGCACACCCTTCCTTCAACTCCAGCCTCAGTTGCCTCCTCTCCGGTCCTTACATACAGGGTCCTGCCCCAGGACTTTTGCACAGTCAGTGCTGCCATATAAAACTAGACCCATAGAGGCTGCACATGCTCAGCAAGGCCACAATGGAACTCAGGGAGTATGTGGTCAGCAAGCATTAGGGATGAATCAAGATGCAAAGGGCACTGTGGAAGCCCAGGAGAGCCCCCACCCAGTCTGGGGAGCGGAGGTGGGATGTAGTTCTCCCAGTGGCTTCAAGCAAAAGTAAGCACTCTGTCCCCAACAAGCAGATGTCTCACATGTCTGCTCACCAAATTACAGCTCACTTCAAGTTGGCTCCACACAAAGGGCCAGAATATGCCCAATAGCCAGGCCCGGGTGAACCTCCATCGAGTGGCCTCACTGTCTGAGGTGAACTTCTGCAGGGGATACAGCCAGTGTTGTGCATCGGCTCTCAGGACTCCAGCTGTGGGACCCTCCCACCCACCTTACCTTCAGCACAAGGCCCCTGACTTTCTCTAGCTGCTCAGCTGCTTGGCTGCAGTCCAGAGTTGACGTCAGACACTGGTCCGCCAGCTGCAGGAAGGTGGTGACGGCATCTGCCATGAGCTGTGAAGAAGGTACCCACATGATCCCACACCCCAGGACCACCGCTCTGGCTCAGAAGCTTTCCCAGAAGCCTGGGTCAGGAAAAGTCAGCAGCCTCCCTGGGGAGCGCTCCTGTGCAGTGTACAAAGTAGCAGATGTGCCGGGCACCAATGGGTTACCTCAGGCTCTTCCTATTTCATTCCCTGTGTCCACGGAGGGGCCCTATTGCTGCCTTTAAAACACATCTCTCTTTTTGTTTTACATAGGTCCTCACGTAACCTACACTGGCCTCAAATTCATTGTGCATCGGAGGATGACCCTGGTCCTCCTGTCTTCGACAGGCTGACACCACCACACCTGCATCTGGATAAGAGCTTCTAGGCTCTTCCACTCAGGCCTTTTTAGACAGAACTCATAACAGCAGACAGCTCTTCCTTTTTAATTTTTGTTTTGTTTTGTTTTTTTCTAGACAAGGTTTCTCTGTGTGGCTTTGGAGGCTGTCCTGGAACAAGCTCTATAGACCAGGCTGGACTTGAATTCACAGAGATCCACCTGCCTCTGTCTTCCAAGTGCTGGGACTGAAGGTGTGTGCCACCAACACCCAGCCAGACAGCTTTTGAGTCTGGCCATGCTCTCATACCTCCTGAGGCTCCCTACTGTCTTTTAGAGATTCACACTCTCTCCAGGCCCTGCCTGCCTATCAGTTGGGCCCATTCCTTTCCCATAAACGCACACTCTCCCTCTACCAGGGATACCCGATGCATGCTTCCCATTCACTTTCCTCACCTGTTGTGCAAGGTCTTGGGCCCCAAACACCAGGCTCTGCATCCCCAGGAAGCCAAATGGTTCTGCCAGATGGGCCAGGTGGCTGCGGTTCCTCTCTGCCTCCCGATAGCAGACCTGCATCAGTTCTGGATCCCAAGGTATCTCCCCGAATTCATAAACCTACGTATGAATACCAGTCGGATGAGAAAATATCCTTGGCTTGTGATACTGGCAGGCCAAGGGGGACATGCCACTGCCAGCCCATGTGCTAACCTCCCTGCGCAGCCTAGTGCCTGAAGGATTCTTGTGCAGCTGGTGAGACAGCCGGTCTATGCCCCGAATGAGGAGGGTCTGAACAGCTTGGAGCGTGGCTTCCACAGGGCTCAGCAGCGTGAGGGTAAGCTGGGGCAGTTGCTGGTCCACCATGCAGCACAGGCATGCCTCGAGGGCGTCCCTGATCTCCACTGAGGGGAAATGCATAGGAATGCAATGAATGCATAGGAGCAGGGACCTCAACCTGGCGAGCTCAATACTCATTTTGCAGCTGAGGAAACTGAGGCTAAGTAGGAGCTGTGAGACATGGCCCAAAGGCACAGACCGAGGAAGCAGGGTCTTCATATCGGCTGCAGAGCCTCCCTACCTGACCCACATTTTAACAGGCCTGCTGCAGGCCCCGTTCTCTCGTACCACGCCCTTCTCAGGGCTTCTCCAGGCTAGTATCCGGTGTCAGACTCTAATTCTCATCAACTATTTCCCTTTTCCCTAACCTATCCCTCAGGCCCCGCCTCGCGCCAATTAGACCCCCACCTTCCAGTCACAAGACCCCGCCCCCTCAGGCAAGCACTGTCCAACCTGTTGGTATCGCCCTGATCCCGCCTCCAGACGACCCTCAGCTAACAGGCCCAGCTCCTGAAACTCCACGCCCTCTCCCAGGTGGCCCCGCCCCTACATTTCCTGACCCCACACCTTGGCCTCCTGCACTGTCCTGCCTAGGCCCCACCTCTCGCTCCGTGACCCCTCTCCCTCCTCCTGGACCCACGCTCCCTCCTAGTTCTGACCCCCACCAACCACGCAGCCTCCCCTATCTCTTAGCAATGGCCCCGCCTCTTATTCCTGCCCCCGTCGCCGTCCAGCTCACTTTTCAGTCTCCGCGCCCTTTGTGCGCGCTGCTGTAGGATCTGCTCGAGCTCTGCGCGTACCGTCCTCTCTAGAGCCGCCAGCAGCGCGTCCTTTTCTGGCTGGAAGGCTCGCAGACCTGCAGATGCCCGGACCAGGACGGCCGCGTACACAGCGTCGAGGAACTGCAGCGTCGAGGGCGGTGTGGGCGAGCACGTGGGGCTAGGGGCGCCCCCCCCCTTCCCCTCGCCGCAACCCGCTCCACACCTCTGCGCAGGCCCGGGCCCGGGCGCGCCCTGAACCGCGCAGACCCCGCAGCGCTTGTGAGCGCAGCCCGGGCAACAGCTCCCGCATCAGCTCAGCGCTCAGCACCTACGAGGGAAGCGTGGAAGCGTAGTGTGCGGCGGGTGGCGGAACCCAACCATGCCTTGGGACACCGCTCACCTCTGCGTCGGAGCCCAGCGTCGCATCCTCGCCACCGGCGAAGCCCCGTCGTCGTCTATAGAGCTGCACAGCATCCAGGAAGGCGCAGGCCGCGGGCGCCCGGCTGCGCTGTAGGACTGAGGGCACAGTCAGCGGCGCGCTGCGCCCCGGCCCTCTCCAGGAAGCCCCTCACCTATGCCCATCTTCCTCCTGCCTCCCACATACGCCCTGCTCTGCCCCGACGCACCGGTGTCTCTCAGCCGGATGGCACCCTGCAGGTTGAGCCTCCAGGCTCGCTGCACCCCCCGTGTGCGGGCGCAGAAGCAGAGGTGAGCCCGGAACGGGTGCACAAGGAAGAGCGCAAAGCTCACAGGCTCCTCCAGCACTCTCAGTGGCTCCTCCTGGGCGAGATCTCCTGAAAGCAAGACTGTGTGACTTCCGGGCCAGCCTGGGCTTCAGAGCAAAAGCTGTCTCAAAGATTAAACACAGCAGAAGCCCTAGTGCTATGTGGGCCTGCAAGATAAACTCTGCATTGCTTTTGGAACAGGTGAACAGGGACAGAGTGGGAGAAACTCAAAGACCAGGACCCCAACTGGACTGCACCGTGTCCCAAATCTGTACACTGCTTCCCACCACATCTGTCTCCTTGCATGCTTACTGACACTGGGTTTCATGGTTTTTCAATAATAAGTAACTACATGCATGTATTTGTTCATATGTCAAACACAAAGACATCAGATGCCCTGGAGCTGGAGTTCCAGGCAGTTGTGAGCAGTCTGATATGGGTGCTGGGAATCAAACTCTGATCCACTGAGCCATCTTTCCAGCCTTGACTTTTATTGTATTGTTTTGTTGCTTTATTCTTTTTTGTTTGTTTTCCAAGACAAGGTTTCTCTGGCTGTCCTGAAATACACTCTGTAGAGCAGGCTGGTGTCACACTCTGAGATCCGCCTGCCTCTGCCTCCCCAGTGCTGGGAGTAAAGGCGTGCGCCACCAGCATTGCTTTTGTTTTGTTCCTTAGACTCTTTGCCATTTGGGTTTTGTCCCATTGGCTTTACTGATGCCCCCCTAGGGACGGTGGGTCCTTCTTTTCCTTCCCAAAGCAAGTGTACTCGCTCCAGGAACAATACCATCCACCAAGGGACAGCTGGCAACATCTGTAGACACTGTGAGTCACGCTGTGGGTAGGAAGTTGCTACTGGCAATAGATGGAGGATCAAATCAGCTTCCCAAGTGTGCAGGGAGGGTAGGACAGCCACAGGGCTGGGAGGAAGGGAAGCTAAGGGAACTCAGGGATGCTTACCAGAGGAGCTTGGGCAGAGGTCATCCAAAAGGCAGAGATATTCACGCTGGGAAGTGAGTAGCATGTACCCGGTCAGGGCTGTGGAGCCCAGGGGACGGCCCCCAGATTCATACTCCTAGACCAGACAAAGCCTTGAAACCAAACAGATTCCCCAACACAGGAGGCAGGTAAGCAAACTCCCAACGCACTCCCCTGCCCCTCTGGGCCATCTGCAACTCAGGACCTTGCATGTTATTGGCCAGGACTCTGCCACTGAGCTCCTCACTGGGGGATTCTAGGCAGGACCTCTGGCCATCTACTTACATCCTTTTGGCTGAACCATTCCAGATGTCCATCACCACGCAGAACACAGAAGATGGGTTGCCACTGTGGTGGGTGGCCCCACAGCAGCGTCAAGGGCCCTCCATGCTCCCGGACTCGAGGCAGCTTCTGCAAGGGGATGCCAGCTGTCATTGGGTCTAGAGCAGATTTTAGGGTTCCCTGAACTCTGCCTGAGTCTCAGCTGCCACCAAAAGCAGGGCATTCAGCTTTTACATTTAATTGATTATGACAGGATCTGGTTGTGGTACCATGGAGACGCCACCAACTGCTGGATCCTAGTGACCCTCCTTCCTCAGTTGCCCATGTAGTCTATAGACAGCCTGGGCTACAGACATCCAAAGGAAAACAAGTGTCATGTAGGTTTGGTCACACATGTGCACCATACTCCTAAGGCTCAGAGGCAGCCTAGCACTCTGTCATGTCAGCCTAGCACCAGGAAGGTTGAGGCAGGAAAGTCAGGAGTTCAAGGTCAGCCTCAGCTACACATCAAGTTTAAGACTAGCCCAGCTACATGAGTCTTTGCCTTAAATAAAACAAAAACAAAATTGTGGCAGAATAGGGAATGTCCTGCATGGGACAGGGAAAGTCCCCAGAGGTGACCTGCCCACAGATCCTCCCTTGAGCAGGGAGGAAAAGGAGCCAGTGAGAACCCCAGTTTCCAGTCACCTGTGCAACCTTCATGTGGCTCACCTGCCTCTCTGGCCCTGAATTGCCTCGTTAGTCCAGGACTATCCCGGGGTGGGGACAGATAGAGGCCATGGAAGACTATCAGTGGGCCATAGCTCCATGCTGTTTGATCTTACTAATGAACCCTGAACTTCCAAGAACAGAGTAAGAGGGACAAGGGGGCAGGAAATATGGGCATGGGGTCGTATCAAGGTGTGTTTCCCTGGTGCTGTGGTTGCGACAGCAGGGCAGGTACATGAAGAAGCTGGGACCCTTGCTCACACTACTCAGGTTTTGCCAACCTCAGGGCCTTTGCACTTGCTATTGACCCTGGCAGGGAACACACTTCCCCAAGCTTCCTCTGCCTGCCTTCACCTTCACAGCTTCCTGATCCACCTGTACAAAGGCCCTGAGGTCAGTGCACCCTTCCCAGCACCACAGTCTCCGGAGACAACCACAGCTGGGTCCCCACACGCCCTGAGGGGTGACTGGCAGGGATCCTCATCCTCCACCACACGCACTTTGGTGTGGGACAGCTGGCATCCTGCTGGCTCCTGGGGTCCCAGCTCCCTGGAGATCTGCCTCAGGACGGCTGCTGCTAGCTGCCTGCGGTAACATGGCAAGAAGGCCCTCAGCAAGCCATCCACCTGACCTGTGGGGGAAAAGGGACCAACACTGTGGCCAGGGGACTTACCTGTCATCTTAGGCCAAGCTGGCCTGCCAGCCAGATCAGCCTGAATTAGTGAGCCCCGACATAGGCAAAAGACCATGCCTCAGTGAATAAGGTAGAAGGCAGTCTAAGAGGAGAACCAGTGTTAATCCCTGCTACACACATGCACACACAAAGGCATTTTCATCCAAGTACATTGTTGTGTCTCAGGAGAACAAGACCCAGAGAGGGGGACTCACTCACTCAAAAGCACACAGCAAATGCAGGTAGCAGTCAATCCTGGGACTTGCAGAAATGATTTGCAGCATATGCAGGAATTTGCATGGGCAATTCCCCTTTCCAAATGCTGTTCCCACATACCATCTTCCAGCCTGGCCTAGCCACCTCCCCTTAGGGAACAGCCACCATATCCTGTGAGTCTGAACCATGAACGTCCAGCCCCTCTTCTAGGTCTAGTGTAGGACAGTACAGAGAGCCTTAGTCCCAATGTCCATGTAGCCAGGCCTGGCCATGATGACCATCTGGGGCCAGACAGGGACCCCTTCCACCTGCCTGTGGCCACCACCCCTGCCCTCATGGGCCCATGAGTCCCCTAACAAATCAAAATTGCCACATTTCACTTTTGTTTTGAGACAGGGTCACATGTAGCCCAGGTGTCCTGGAACTCACTATGTACTCCAGGCTGACCTCAAACTTAGGGATCTGTCTCCTGAGTGCTGGGATGCCATGTGTTTGCCACCATGCTCAGCCACTTGAGTTTCGTTTAAATCTGGAATCTTCCAAAGCCAGGCATCACCAAAGCAGTGGTGATGCAAATCTCTAATCCCAGCCCGTGGAAGTTAGGGGCAGATTGATCTCTGGTTTTGAGCCCAGCTTGGCCTATAGAGAGTGTTTCGGGCTAGCCTGATCTTGAAACATTAAACAAAAACTCTGGAATCTTCCAACACAAGCCCACTCCTGGCAGGACAAGAGAATCCTAACAAGGAACCACATATTTAATGCCAGGAGTTAATGCCAGTGTCGCCTCCTGTGCAGTGGACGGCACGACCTTACCCCAATCCCTCTGCTCACCCCTCAGCTGCTGCTGCTGCCGTTTGTCCAAGGGGCTGGAGGGCCGTGCCCCCATCCTGTTACTGTGCGGAGTCCTCCTGGGTCCCTCTGCTCAGGGTTCTGGGTAGCAGTCAAATGGCCCAAGTTCCAGGAGGGTACTGCGGTTTGGTACAGCCTGTGACTCTTCTGGTCTGCACCTGCCTCCTCCTGTCTCCTGGGGACAGGCTGGACCAAGACTGGGGGTTTCTGTGAGGGACAGTGGGGACTGCCCCAGGGGAGACCAAAGCAGTATGGTAAAAACTATGCCCACCACAGGTGGGTGGGGTGGCACATCTCTGCCTTTCCAGCACTCAGAAAGCAGACAGGAAGATCAGGAGTTTAGTTAATGGAAGCCAACCTGGGCTACATGAAGTGTTGTCTCAACAAAACAAACAAATGACTGACTGAAGAAACAAGTGACCTGGGGCGTGAGTTATCAGTGTGAAGGGAACACAACCCCCATGCCCACCACCATGAAGTCTGCCCATGAGGGAAAATGTTCCCTTCAGCCATTTCCTTTTCCCTTCCTTTTCCAGAGGCTGGAACGTAGGCATGACAACTGGAGTATAAGCAGCCACCTTGGAGCACAAGGCAGATCCTATGCATCAGCGGCACAGCACGAATGTCCTCCTTGAGACAGGGATACAGTCAATGGTACATGTCCTGTACAGGGTGCTCACATGGGGTCCTCACACCCACATCACTTTCCTTTATCAGGACAGCTCAGCCTCTACCCTTGGCTGCTGGAGTCCCCAGCACGGCAGCTTTCCACTGTGTCCTCACTGTCTTATGGCCCAGCCTGCCCCACTTCCTCATTATCACAGCTGAGGAGTCCTCAGGGACCAGACACCAGAAGAAACTTGACATTTGTGGTTCTGGACCCCACCCTTCCGTTCCAAGTTGGCTCCAGGAGGTTTCAATTCCCACCTCATGTCTGCTTGTGTGACCTTCCTGGGGATGCCTCTCAGAACCCCACACTTAGCCAGGTCTGCCATCCTCCCCAACTAAGTCCCTGGGACAGCGAGGGGGCAGGACCACAACAGGCCATTGATGCACCAATCCACTTCATGCTCCAAGTTGGCTGAGCTCCGGCCATTGTATGTACATTTCAGTGTTTGCAAGAGGAAGGAAGGCAGAACACTGTCTAAGGGGACATCGCGACTCACCTCAGACACTTCTCTCATTGTTATGTGACCCTGTGGCATTATCAGGGGAAGCTCAAGATATTTCACTTTGCTCGAGTTTCTGAGAGGACTTCGGGGAGATTGAGACGCTGGTGAACCCTGGCATGTTCCTTCAAAGTCTATCTCTGGAGCTTTCGCTCCAGTGGCAGGTATGTGGCCACACGGCTGGAACACAAGCAGACATGTTCTAAAGCTTGGAGCTGAGAATGACTCTTTCTTTGTTCTGATGTGTGCACAACGGGGGCCAGAAGCACAGGCTCCACATTTCTCTGAGGCCCCACAGTGTGCTGTTAGCCCCACCCTCTGCCACCAAGAACCACAGAGACCAGAGTTCCAGGAATGCTCTGTTTAATTCCCAGTTGGCCCGCTCCCGAAACCCCCGAAGGCTTTTCCAGAAAGCCCAGGGTGGAGGCCAGGGGCCAGCCACGCGTGCCCACCCCGCGTTACAGCGTGGAATGCTTCTCGAAGGGCACAGACAGCAGCCTTGCGGCCGCCTCGTCCAAGAACCAGCAGAGGGTGCCCGTGCGTGGCTGCACCATGGTGGCAGGTAGTGTTCCATCCTTGTCCTCCAGGATGCGCTGTGTGCAAAACCCGGGACCGGCCTCAGACCCCAGCGCCAGACCATGGGGCCAGACTGGGGATCTGTTCAGATGTGGGGACAGGCACCCATGGGAACCCTCCCCTGCACCCTGCCTCATACACTGTGGGCTCTAAGCTCCGTGGTATGGAACAGGTTTTGTTTGTTGTTTTATTAGGAGGCAGAGCCTCATGTAGCCCAGGCCTTGAACTTGCTAGGTAGCCAAGGATGACCCTCCTATTTCTGTCTCTCTGGGGACTGAACTCAGGTTGTTTGAGAACTCAAAGACTGAACTCATGCTTGGTGGCAAGCTCCTTTACCCACTAAACCCACTTGACTCACACTTGCTAATTTTTTATTTCTATTTTATCTGTCTGGGTATTTTTCCTGCATGTATATCTGCACACCACATGCATGCCTGGTGCCACAGAGGCCAGAAGAGGGTATCTGAACCCCAGGGACTAGAGCTAGAGATGAATGTAACCTACTGCTGCTGCTGGTGAGCCATCTTTCCAGCCAGGGTCTTCTTCTTCTTTTTTTTTTTTTTTTTTTTTTCCTTTAAATGTGTGGTATCACATTTTCACCCTGCATCTTGTGAGGTGTCCTGCTCTATCACCCTGCACCTTATTCCCTTGACACAGGGGTTCCTCACTGAGCCTGGAACTAGGCCAGTGGCCATCAAACCCCAACTATCCTGTCCCCAAGAAGGGGTTTACAGACACACATGACCACAGCCAGCAATCACTTGGCAGCAGGACCTTGTGATCTCTGCGACTTCCCTCTCACATCCCCAAGTCCGTGACGGCCCATGACCACCCAACCACCCTTTGACCGTCTGTGACTGCCCATGACTGCCCTTCTGAGAGTCCTTACCTTCAGCACAGCTGCCTTGCCTTCCCCTGTGGCTACGAAAATGACACTCTGGGCTGCATTCAGCACAGGAAGTGTCAGGGTCACCCTCTGCGGTGGTGGCTTTGGGGAGTCACTGACGGGAGCCACAATCTTCTCTTGCTCCTGGAGGAAGAAGGCCAGGTGGGGACAGGTCATGTCCACCCTTATGTTGTATTTGTGGTGCTGGAATGAATCTGCCCCCTCCAGGCCCCTCCAGTACCCCACCAAACACCAAGTTTACAGTGTCACCAGGCTTTGATAGTCTTTTGGGTGTTTGGGACAGGCTCTTATTCTGTGACCCAGGCTGCACTCAGCCTTATTACGACTTCTCAAGTGCTGGTATGACAGGCATTTGCCACCATGTCCAAGAGATCTGAGTCCCTGCAGGGCTGTGCTGGGAGGGTGTTGGCACTCAGATACCCAGCAGACTGACACAGGCCCAGATGGATTCCATGCTCACCTGTAGGAGGGGATGACCAGGGAAGAGCGAACAGGTGTGGCCGTCCGGGCCCACTCCCAGGATCAGGAGGTCAAACACAGGGACAGTATCTTCTTGGAAGGCCTGATGGGGAGGACAGCAGGTTAGAGCATGTGCAGGGTTCAGAGGTTTCACAGAAAGTTGTAACCAGGGTTCCATGTCTGGATCCTTCAGCCTCAGCTTCAACTATCTTCCACTGAGAGGGTATCACTCAGCAAGAGCCTGCCTATCATGTTCTCTGCACAGTACATAGCCACCGTGGCAATGGCCAGCTTCAGCATGGTCTAATGTCTGCAGTGTTTTTTGAGGCTGAGTGTCACTCTCAAGCTGGCCTGAACTCTGGACAGTCCTCCTGCCTCAGTGTCCAAAGTGCTGAGTCACAGACATGCCATCACACCAGACTGATCCAGCAGGAAGTTCAATTTCCCTTTCAATGACCAAGAACCTTGGGTCTGAAGATGAGTGTTCCTGAGATGTGAGGCCCCAGCCTGAATCTCTGCAATGGGCCACCCCCTCATAATGACAACCTGTGTTTCTTCTCCACATGTTCTGGGACCCACCTGCCTCAGTTTCCTGGCATAGTCCTCCGCAGCATCCTCTACAGGCAAGGCAGGATTGACAGTGAGGACTTGGCTGTCTGGGATGGGTAGCTTTGAGAGCAGGTGTGTCTGTGGAAGGGGAAGGGACAGTGAGCAAGTGACATGACCATTTGAGATGCCTGGCACAGCACTGTCCAAACAAGGACTTGCCTAAAGCCAGGAACCCTGTGTCACTCAGGCTGGCTGACTCCCCAGGCTGCCTTCTCTGATAGCCAGATCCGCCTGGGGTTCCCACCTTAGGGATCCAGCATGCAGCTGGCACCTGGTGGGCCCCTCCAATCTGCTTTGAGAACTGGGCAGCCACCTAGCCTGTCTCCATGTCTGGCTCTGGGTCTAAGTCCAGCTTAGTGGAACAGGTAGAGGTTTGGAGCAAATGACACAAGCCCAGGGTGCACTGCACCAGCCAGTGCTCAGGATGCTGAGGGCTCTGAACGGGGAACACGAGTGCAGGGCTCAACTGAAGACCACAGCAAGGAGTGTGAGCCGGGAAGGCAGAGCTGAACTCCTCAGCTCCTGTCTCAGCACCTACTTGACTTTAAACATCAAATCCCCAACAGATTCCCACCTGCTGGTAAAACCCTCTTCCCTGGTCACCTTGGCCAAAGGCAGAGCTTTTAACTGTGTCCCCTCAGAGGGGCCTACTTAGTAATCCTTGCATTATTTTTCTTAGGTGGGTAGCATCAAAATGGTCTCATGTAGCACAGGCCAGCCTCCAATTGGGAGGTGATGACCTTCAACTCATGACCCCCCCTGCCTCTAGCCCCCCAGCGCTGGGATGACAGGTGTGCACCACCACACTTGGTTTATATGATGCTCAAATGGAGGCCAGCACCTAGTGCATTCTAGACAAGCACGCCTTGTGCTAGTACCTATGACCCACTGTTCAATGAAGTTCTAGGGGGCAGACACAGCATTCAAAGTGGTGTAGTTTCAAAACTGAGGTCCCTAGATGAGGGCCGTGGGGTCCTGAATCTTCTGGTCTTAGTTTCCCCCACCTTGAATTGAATGTGATGGCCCCTGCATCAGGGTCCATGAGATTGGGCCTGCCTCCCCAAGGGGGGCAGTGGCAGATACCCAGGTTTGCTCAGAGCTCAGTTCTTCATGCCTCAGTTTTCCTGTGTGTGAAGCTGGGCGCTCTGGACCCTATAAGGGGCCTGGAGGCTGTCAGATCCTAGGCTGCTCCTGTTAAGAGAGGGGAAACTGAGGCCCAACACACCCTGGACACCAGAGCCATGACCCACAAGACCCCATAGCCCGGGCTCGGCCCTCAGAAAGATGTGGGCTGGCTCAGGCCCTTCAGGCCAGGCTTGGGAGGACGTCATTGCACATTCTGCAAGACCCAGGGTGTCCCGTAGCACGCGCGCAGGTGTTGAAGCAGCTCCTGGGCGTTTTTTTCCTCGGCAGGCTGAGCCGGATCGACGTGGCCGGCCGTGGTCCCCGTAGCCCGCGTTTCCTCGGCGGACGGGGCCAGTTGAGCATGGCCCGCGGCGGCCACCGTAGCCGGGCGGGGCACGCCCCCGCAGCGCTCACCCGGTAGAGGCCGTACGTGCTCTCGGCGTGCTCGAAGGGCACGAGGCGCTCGTCGCAGAAGCCGAGCGTCCAGCGCGCAAAGCTGTCGGGCCCGGCGGGAGTGGCGGCGGTGGGCAGGTCTCGGGCCAACATGGAGACCAGGCTGCCGCCTGACAGGCCCAGCGCGAAGCGGCCACGGTTACTTTCCAGGCAGCTCGCGGCCCGCTGCGCTATCAGCTGCGCCAGCGACGCCCCCAACTCCTGCGGGCTTGAGAAGACCGAGATGAGACCCAGCGCAGGTGCGGCCATGGCTGCAGCGTGGGGGCGGTGGTGCTGTCGGAGGACGCCAGTACGCTTGCGCGACGGCCGAACTGCCGGGTGCTGGAGCTTTGCGCCAAGGGGCTGGACGCATGCGCAGTTGTTCAGATGAAGCCTCGTTGGGGCCAAACGAATTGTTCCCCAAACCCCAGTGCACGCCGGGCTCTGGGGTGGAGGGCGGGGAGCCCACGGTGCTTCCTAGGGCGAGACACGCCTTGGTGACCTCAAACTCCTGATCGTCCTTTCTTGGCCTGAATGCTGGAGTGACCTGTGGGTTCGAGGCCAGATTGGGCTGAGTGGGACCTGGTCACACACCCATGACATCCGCGTGCCTGCACAGTTCTTCCCACATTCGGGTCGTGGTCGGACTTGCCTTTTCTGGTTAATCCAGCAGGTGTTGCGGTTTCTAAGCCCCTCAGCCTACAGCTGTGCTCAGCACTAGAGACCTATGCGGGACAACAGCTGTGCGGCTGTTGAACTTCCCTGTTGCTTTTGGTTATGAAAGTGCCACCACTCATGCGCGTGAACAGGTGGTTCCCAGCTGTCCGTTCTATTTGGGGAAAACACGGGACTTTAGGACTGTTAAGAACATTGACCCAAGTAGATCAGCCAGAGTGTGGACCTTGAAAGTGACAGCCGCTTCTGCCTTGAACCCACATAACCCCCTGGTGGTTCCTTCCCCCTAATTTCCCCTCTATTTTTGCTTTATTTTTTGTGGACATGGGTGTTTTGCCTCTGTAGCACGTGTTTGCCTGGTGCCTGCAGCGGCCAGAAGGCATGGGATACCCCTGGACTGAGTTACTAGACCTGTGATTCTCAGTGTGGGTGTTGGGAAGCTAATTCTCCTCCTTCGGAAGCCTACCAGTGTGCTCTTAAGCACCAAGCCACAGCGACCAAAAGAGTGACCCTGACCTTGCTGAACTTGGGAAAGCTCCAAAATCCAAGCACTCAAGTCACTTTTGCTAGAACTCAATCCAGGGCCTCATGACCACTTGGCTGTACCCCAGCGTCAAACCCACAAGCTTTCTGAGTGGACACATAGGCTGCAAGCATCAAGTTACACTTCACAAAACCTTTCAAGTAAACTTTCTTGTTTATCGTTTTGATTTTCTGAGACAAGGTTTCTTGTGTGGTCCTAGCTGTTCTAAAACTCTGTAAACCAGGCTGACCTCAACCTCACAGAGAGCCACCAAGTGCTGGAAGTTTTGTTGAGTCCATTTTAAAAAACATTTAGGTCTAATGTGTCGATGAACACCTCTAATCCCTGCACTGAGGGAGCAGAGGCTGTTGGGTCTCTGATTTCGAGACCCTCCTGATCTACATAGTGAGTTCCAGGCCAGCCAGAGCTCCTTAATGAGAACCTGCCTCCCAATGGGGATCGAAGGGTTCTAGAAAGATGGCTCCCTAAGAAAAGTCATACCAAAGCCTGACAACTGAGTTCAGTTATGCACAGAAATGAAACAAACTTAAATGTTTACACTTACTTTCAAACTGCAGGCATAAACATGAATGACACAAGTGATTGTGACAGGAGTTTGTATCACAATTGATGTTTGTACCAATATCCTGAAATTTTCAAAATCCCATATCAAAACTGTTTTTGGTACTATAGATTCTGGAGAAAAGGTCTTGACATCAGTATGGTCATGTGATATCAGCATAAAAAATACTAAAATGAATACCGTCTTCCAGCATCACTGTGGTGTCTGTGGGCCAATTCATTGAGAAGCTGAGGCAGGAGAATTGCCTAGGAGTTAAACAACAGCCTGAGAAAATACCCAGACATGGCTCAGAAGCAAACTGAGGGGGCTGGAGTCCCTGCCTAGAATCCCCCAGTAAGGGGCTTGGGACATGGCTCAGGGGTGGAGCCCTTTCTTAAAGTCCCCCAGAGGAGCTTGGCAGTGGTGGCACACATCTTTAGTCCCAGCACTCAGAAGGCAAAGGCAGTTCGAAGTCAGTTTGGTTTACAGTGTGTGTTCCAGGACACAAACACACACAAAGAAAACTAGAGTCCCTCCTGCTTAAAGGGCCCCAAAGAGGGGCTGGGGGTCTGCTCTAGGGTGGAGCCCCTGGTTAAAGAGTCCCTCAGAGAGGGGCTGGGGGCATGGCATAGCTAGAATACTGCTTGGTTTAAGTTCCAGGGTTTCATCCTGGGATTTGCAAAAGCAGAAGAGGAATGAAGAGATAGTGAGCCCCAGAGACCCTGAGCATGAATATAGTGGATCAGCTCACAGGGTTGTCCCCCTCATCAATGGACACTACTCTAGCGTAGGAAGGACAATGAGTTTTTTTTTTTTTTCCAAATTTAAAAATTATTGTTTTCTTCTGGCTGCTTTTAAGTGGGATGTTACTGTAGAGCCCAGGTTGGCCTTGGACTCAACATCCCAATGTCTCAGTCTCCCAAGGGCTGTGGTGGCAGGTGTCTTTGCTCCTAGCTGGCTATCCCTTTTATTTTGTTTTGAAAAAGCATCTCACTGTGTAGCCTGGCTGGCTGGAAGTAGCTGTACCTTCTGGAACACAGGTCCAGTGACATGCATTGAAACAACAGACACAACCTTGGGCCTGCTTCTTGCTACTGTGCCTGGTATCAACACTACTGCTACTTTGTCAGGTGTAGTGTGCGGACAGTGGAGATCACAGGACTGGACTCACTGTCACCAGGCTGTGTTGCCCACATGCCAGGCTCTTCACCACTTGAGCACTTGCTGCCCTAGGGCACCAGGTCCAAGGACTGGGGCATCCAAGGAAACTGAATGGAAGCAAGCTGAATGTCTGCTTTGTGGTCCTGCCTGAAGGACCCTTGTTCTGTATAGGTTAGCCTGGAGGCAAGGGTCCTATTGCTATCCGAATGGCTTCCCCTAATTCACAGTATAACCCACAAAGCCTTGGTAATGGTGCTAAGAAGGTAGAGATGGGGCCTTGGAGATGCCTCAGCTAGTAAATATGCTTACCACCAAGGCTGACCACCTAAGTCCCATCCTCAGGAGCCACACAGGGGAAGGAGAGAACCAAGATTGTCCTCTGACCTCCATTATCTGTAACACACTAACACATACACACACACACACACACACACACACACACACACACACACACACAGTGAAAGTGTTTAAAGATGGGGCATCTGAGAGCTAATTAAAATGTGGCAATGGTATCTGGATTTCCAGTCTCCAAAACTGAGCTACATAAACTTCTCCTTTTGTACAGTCCCAGCCTTAAGGTCAAGCCATCAGAGCTATGATGCTCTTTCTTTGTTGTCCTCCCACCCCACCAGACAGGTCTTTCAGTTCAGTCCTGGCTGTCCTAGAACTCACTCTATAGACCAGACTGGCCTCAAACTGAGACCTTCCTGCCTCTTTCTTACAAGTGCTGGGATTAAAGGTGTGTGCCACCATGTCTGGCTTTTTCTAATTTTTTCTGAAGCAAGATTGTGCTGGCTAGTTTTTGTGTCAACTTGATACAAGCCAGTCATGGGTGTGGGGACCTCAATTGAGACCCCCCCCAAAAGATTGGCAAGCCTATGGAACATTTTCTTGATGGATATTTGATGGGAGAGGGCCCAGCTCACTGTGGGAGGTGCCATCCCTGGGCAGATGATCCCAGGTTCTACAAGGAAGCAGGCTGAGTACAAATCATGGGAGCAGTCTGTAAGCAGCACCCCTCCATGGCCTCTGCACCAGCTCCTGATGCTAGCTAGGTTCCTGCCTTGGCTTCCTTCAATGGGCTGTGATTCAGGTATTGGAAGCCAAATGAACCCTTTCCTTCCCAAGCTGTTTTGGTCACTGTGTTTCATCACAGTAGCCCTAACTAGGATGAATACTGTGGGTGTCCTGCTGCAGCCTGCTCAGGTGTGACCAGGCCTTGAGACAGACCAGAGATGCTGTGCTCTGGCAGGTGTCAAGGCTCAGCACATTTATTTCTGAAAACCAACAAGGAAATGACATTTGTGTGTGTGGACTGCGGGGCAGCCTATGGATGCTCTGCTGTCCACAAACTTCATGGGTCTCAGCCCTTGAAGATGCAGGAGGGCAGAGGCTGGGCTTGGTGACTGAGCTGAGTCATCAATGACCTAGGGAAGCCAGAAGGATAGACCTGGTGTGTCATGTTACAAGAGTCCAGGGTCTGGACTCTTAACACAATAGGAAAGCACATCCAGAGCTGTCACTGGAGGCACCCACAGGAACACCACAGCAACCTTCCAGACACCCAAGCTTTGCTAGGGTCAGGGCCCCAAGAGAAGATGCCTGAAGAACCCTGAACAGACAGCTGTGGGTAGGGCCATTAACTAGCCACATACAAATGGTCAGAATCAGTACTGGAAGCTTCCTGGACATGAGGGGAAAGTGGGGGACTAGGGACAATAGTGTATTAAGTGTCATCCCTCTGGAACTGCAGGGTGGTGTCCTTGCTAGCACAGGCAGAGGCGGTAAGATGGAAGGTTTGAGGCCAGCTTGGTCTCCACAGTGAGATACTGTCTTAAAACAAAAAAAAATAAAATTTCCAGTTGACTGGGGGCCAGTAGGGGACTGCTGATGTTGCCCAGCTAACATTGAGAGTGTGCTACAGACCCTCACTAGGGAGGGCAGCTGGGTGGATCACCTACTCCACAGGGGAGCTGAGGATGGGTTCATAAGGCACAACATCGAGGGAGGTGGATGCCACAGCCTGACACAGGTCTCAAAGCAAGACACAGCAGCCAAGATGAGTTTGTGGGGCTCCTGGTAGATGAGGAGAAAGATGGAGAAAAAGAAAAAGGCAGAGGCTGGATGGATGCATAGTGGGATGTAGGAGAGACATCTGATTGCTCAGGTACTCCCAGTTTCTCACACCCACTGGTGCTGCTGGCCAGGTAGCTAGGCAGAAGAGGCCCCTGAGGGGTGTCAGGTGCCTGGGGCTCTGTGGAGTCCAGGCCCATCCCACTCGCCAAGTACATCAGAGTGAGAAGTCTCCAGCACAGATGCGAGCATGGACTCCCTCATCCAGGGGCAGGTATTGGCCCTGCTTCATGTCCAGGAAGAAAAGCCGATCTGAAGTCTGGCGAGGGTCAAAGCCTTCACGCTGCAGCCGGGTCTTTTGGATCTTGAAGGTGCCTGAGGGAAGGGTGGAGGAGAGAGGACGGGTGAGAACCCTGAACCAGCTCTCTGCACATGATTCCCTTCAGCAGTGGACACTCCCTAACAGTTGCCCACTGGACACCTTCACACCCTTCTCAAGACAGGAAGAAAATACCAGCAGGAGGAGGTGAAAGACCAGACAATTAATTCATAGAGAAGGGACCCAAGAGGTGCAGCCCACACCACCCCCTCCTGCTTCCTAGTTGTCACAACAATGCACAAGATCAAACAGGGTGCCCACCAACTGATGACCCTTGATTGGTGTGGAAATGGCCAGGGGCAGCAGATAAATCCTTCAAGAAACACCCCAGGGCAGGTGGCTGTGAACCTTCATTCACACTGGGGACTAGAGGTCTAAATTAGAACAAAGAAGTTAACTGCTCGAGGCAGGGGCTGTACCTGTGGTATCCACTTGAGGCAGAAGACGCAGGAAGATGGGCCGGGCATAGGATGCCAGAACCTTCTGCAAATCCTGGTACATGGAGTTAGGGTCCAGCTGGCTGTCGGGATCTGCAATGGCCGCCATGCCGGCTTTGCCCTCCACTCCTGCAGAGAAAGGCTCAGCTAAGAACACCTGCCCACTTGTAGAATCCTACTCTGTACTCTATGACCTCCCAACTGGGATAACATTGGTTCTGACAATACCCATTTCATAAGGGGTCATTTCCACCCTTCTGATCCTAAGAGTCCCCAAACTGAGGATCAATGTTAGAAACTACTTCTCCGGGTTGTATATGGCCCAAGGGTACTATACTTGAAGGTGCCCTCTGGGTGGACTCTTTGGGGCTCTTGCACCCCACAACCACCCGCATCCCCAGCTTGCCTGGCACGGCCACCCCATACACGGCCACATCAGTCTGGCCCAGCAGGCGGCTGAGCACAGCTTCCACCTCCGTGGTGGACACGTTCTCTCCGCGCCAACGGAAAGTATCCCCGCTGCGATCGCGGAAATACATGTAGCCCAGCTCGTCCATCACCAGCACATCACCTGCAGGGGAGAGGGGCAGGTGGGACCCAGCTTCATATCAAGCCAGCCAGCCAGGCCACGAGGTTCCGCACCTGAGAGGTAGGCACTGTCGCCCTTGCGGAACACGCTGTGGGCGATCTTCTTGCTGGTGGCACTGTCGCTAACATAGCCATCGAAGCGCCTCAGAGGATCTTGCTGGTTGATCTGGCCCACAAGAAGGCCGGGTTCTCCTGGAAGGAGTGACACTAAGGCTGAGTGGGGAGGGAACCGTGGGGATCCCAGCTCCCCGAGGTACCAGGCGGGGACTGTTCTCACCAGGCTGGCACGGGATGCAAAGGCCCTGGGCATCCCGCAAAGGCTCCATCGTGTCCTCATTCACCTTGACCAAACGGATGGGGTACACGTGTGTGAGGATGCGGCTGTTGAAGCCGCAGGAGCCGACCTGGGGTGGACAAGGCGGTGAGCGGCCCACGCACGTGGGGGTGGGGGTGCCCAAGGTACTCGCTGAGGGAACACAGCTGCGAACCTTGCCGTCCATGTTGGCGATGCTGCAGTTGCACTCGGTGGCGCCGTAAAACTCGCCGATCTGCCGCACACCGAAGCGCTGCGTGAACTCCTCCCAGATGGCCGGCCGCAGCCCATTACCCACGGCCAGGCGCACACGGTGCCTCCGCTCAACATCGCGAACTGGTTGCTTCAGCAGGTAGCGACAGATCTCCCCAATGTACTGCACTACCTGTGGGGGAGGGGGCTCAGGAAACACCCAATCAGAAGCAGGGCTCGGAAGTGGAGGGGGGGGAGGGCGGCTAGCCTGAGAGGTAGGGCCAGCTGTACCAGAGAGGCTGGCCAGAGAGGCTTGCAGAAGAGGTGGGGGTATGGTTGGGGAGGGTAAAGATGGGACAGGAGACACACCTTGTCATCTCCTTTTCCCAGGTAGCTTGGAGGCCCAATGCACTGACCCCCTGCAGGGTCACACCAGAGCAGCTGTCCCTTGGCACCCTGAGCTTGGGGCAGGACCAAATACAGAGCCCATTGCCTCATAGATTAAAGGTGTCACCTCCAGCAAACTCCTGGGTACCCTCAAATTCTTTTTTATCTCCATTCATTTTTTTTTAAAAATTTCCTTTTACATAAGGTCTTACTATGTAGCCAGGATGACCTGGAATTTGGTATGTAGACCAGGCTAGCATTTAACTCACAAGGATTAAAGGGCTGCACCACTACTTGGGGTGGGCTTTTGAATAGCTAGCTGCATGCTCCACTTTACAGAGGCCAACAATAACAAGGAAGTCACAAAGGTAGAAAAGGCTGGTTTGGACTTGAAGTCTGGCCCGGCACCCTGGACACAGCTGTCATGAGGCAGTCACCTTCTCACGATTGGCAACCAGGCCAGCCACAGAGCCTCCTCCCCATCTTCTGCAAGGGACCCAAATTTCTCCTTCTGCCCTCCATGACCCACTGCCACCAATGTCCTGTCCCTACCTCAGGGACTGTACTACTGTGGTGAAACACTTCTGTCACAGGTAAGTCCCTGAGCTCCAGCCCCTGCATGGCTGATGCACAGAAGACCAGCCATGGCCAGTCCAGAGACAAGCTAGCTAAAATAGGGAGTGCCTCCTGCCAACACCTCTGTGGCTCCTTCCCTCCCACCTCACAGAAGGGAACAGGAAGGCTGCATTGAACCTGCCATCTGGACAATAACACGGCCACCACCTGTGACAGGATGGGTGAAGGAGGATCAGCACTGAGGACTTTAATAATAAGGGGTTGGGGACACAACCAAGGCAAGCTAGGCAAGCATCGCCTCCTCCTATTTATGGTTTTTGAGACAGGGTCTTATGTAGCTCAGGCTGTCCAGGGACTTCTGATCCTCCTGCCTCAGCCTTCCAGCCTCCAATCTGGAGTCACAGCTCACTGGGGCTTTTAATGGAAGTTAGAAAGGGAACTCTTTCTCCCCTGAAGTGACAGGAGCAGTGTCCCCTCCTTTTCCCCCACCAAAAAGAAAAGCCAGTTGGGAGGCTAACTGAACAAAATGGAGAGCTGAGTACAGGATACTAGGACCAAGGAGGTGGACAGCCTTGGCTACACAGAAAGTCCCAGGCCAACAAGGACATGAGCTGGTCTCCAAAAGTGGGGATAGGGAGAGAGAAGACAAGAGGAAGGGAGTGTGGGACAGAGAGGGAGAGAGTAAACAGCAGAATAGGGTGGGGATACAGCCCTCCTAGGTCACACAGCCTGAAGCTTATCCTACAAAGCATTCCCATTTCTGTGAACTCTGTTCTTAAGAAAGCTTAGACTTCAGGTCTGGGTTTTGGTCTCTTTCAACTCACTAAATTTCTGCCTAACTCCAGGGCTGCCCTCTAAACTCCACCCCAGCACTCACTCAGGAGACCTAGGCAGGAGGACCTCAGGTCCAGGTGTCCTGACTATCAAGTAAGACCCTGGCTCAGAAGCTAAGCAGAGTCCCACCTGTCAGGTGTTGCACCCACAGCCCTGAAGCAGGGTTTCCAGCAGCCTCCAATGTTTTGTTGAACATCACTTCAGAGCTCAGAGCTCTGCCCCTCTCCCCACTGCCCCTTTGCCCAACAGGGTCTTTCTCAGATACACAAATTGACAGAAAGGGCTTTGAAGGATCTGCAGACAGTAAGCAGATTGTGAAAGCCACTGAAGAGTCCAGGCAAAGGGATCCTGGGTTGTCATTGGCATCTGTGGCCCTGGGCAAGCCCTACTACAGGCAGCCTGACATAGGTTCAACATGGTGTAGAATGGTCAGATCCAGGTGGATCAGCCTGGTCTACATGGTAAGTTCTAGGACAGAGAGGATAGATATAGAGAGACCCTGAATCAAAAAACAGACAAATAAAAAGGTAGAAAGTAGTAGACACTGACAGCACCCCAGCCCCCATGCAAACAAAATGAAGAGCAGAGAAGCAACCATTCCAGGGTGGGTGTGGCCTCACTGTCCACACCCTTGGGTTCCAGAGTAGAGAGGATGAGGGGAAAAAACAAAACAAAACAAAACAAAAAACTATAGTTTGGAAAGAACAACGCCCAAATTCCCAAATATTGTGTATAAATGTTTGCTTTCATTTAATTGGACTTTGTTATATAAAATTAAATTAAAAAATTATATATATATATATATATATATATATATATATAAGAAATATCTTAACTACAGCTTTAGAGGAAAAGTCAGTGTGCATCTCCCACTCAGACTTTTTTCTAAAAAAAAAAAAAAAAAAAAAAAACTAGCACGCAGAATGCCTTCCCAGACCCTGTGGTGTGTGAACTAGAAGCAGGAAGTCAACCAGGCGCTGGAAGGTTAGAAGATGGTGCTGCTGACAAGGATGGAATGTTCTGGACCTCAACAGAGATAAGGTTGTACACGTGGGATGACACTTAATAGGTCCTTTCTCTCTGGCAGCCTTCACCTGAGTTCTGACATGGAGCTACAAGCAGCACCAGGGTGCCAGAGGCTGCTAGACAGGGAAACCAGGGCCTCGAACACTGAAGCTAAGCTCTGGATGACCTACCACCCACATCTGGAATCCTCTGGCTTTTTCTCAAGTGACACTAGTGTTTCAAGTGTTGGAATTAGTTTTCTCCAGGATGGGTGAAAATCCTACAATGCTGGCAGAGTACAGGGGTCTCCAGCACTGCCATGCAGGGCTGTGTGGCCTGGGCAGGTCTTGTCATGCACTGGGCCCTGCCTGTCAATTGCACGTGCCTCCAGAACAGTGACACTACCAGTTCTTTCCTCTTCTCAGCTAGCGTACCTCTGCCCCTTAATTCTGCTGGTTTGCTGTTCCCAGAATCACAGCAGCTCAGGGCATAGCCCAAGGGTGGTGTGAAGGAGCCCAGGGGGTGGTGGGAAGGAGTGGGGTGTGTGTGTGTGTGTGTGTATGTGTGTGTATGTGTGTGTGTGTGTGAAGGAGCCCAGGGGGTGGTGGGAAGGAGTGGGGTGTGTGTGTGTGTGTGTATGTATGTGTGTATGTGTAGGAGCTCAGGACATGGTGTGTGTTTCCAGCCCTCTAGCTATAGTATCCTGCCTGAGCTTAACCCTCTCACCTAGGCACCCCCTGTATAGCAAACTAATTCTAACTCTGGCCTCCTGCCCCATGGTGGTGGGGGGGCAGCACTGTGCAGAAAGCACCTGGAGGAAATCAGATAACCTGGCTTCATCCCAGCTGCATTACAGCCTCAGTTTTCCTGACTGTAAAATTGGTGCAATGCCTTTGGTGACAATGGTAAGGGACTACAAAGAATTTACACAGAAGCTTTTAGCGTTCCAAGGACACCAGCTGGCTCCCTTTCTTCCCTTGTACAGAGATCCTACAATCAAGGTAGGCAGGCAGGCTGAGTAGCCCGAGCATCACTAGATGGAACCACTTAGTTAGACAGAGCATAGATAAGCTAAATGGAAAAAGCAAGCCCATGCAGGTGGGACACAGCCTGGCTAGAATTAGTGCAGTCTTCAAGGAGGGGTGAAGACTGACCACAAAGGATGGGGCTTGGCGGGAAAGGACAAGGCCCTGGTAGATCTGGCCGAAAAATGCACCTTGGTTGGTTCCAAGGCTAGCCAACTGAGTGGAGCTGGCTAAGCAAGCAGTGACCTAGGTAAGGTGGTGCACACCTACACAGGAGGGGCGGGCTGGAGCAGGAGGCGTGTTTGCTGACCTAGCCAGAGCCCAGAGGACTGCAATGCCTGCCACTGGTGTGGTGGGCGGGGCCTGGGAGGAGGCGGGGCCTACCGTGCAGTTGTACTTGACACAGTCATCCCAGAAGCGGCTGGCAGAGAACTTCTTACGCAGCACCACGGTCAACCCGTAGATGACGCACTGTCCCACACCCATGATGTTCCCTAGAGGGAAGGGGGCTGTGAGGGTTCTTGGGGAGCCCCACCCGAGCCCCTGGGCCTAGGCGTACCTGCGGAGTGGTAGAGCGGCAGACAGTCGTAGAGAACATCAGCGGGTCTCATGCTGTAGGAGTGGTGGCCGAAGGCTGCGATGCGGTAGTACCTGTATGAGAGCCAAGTCACTGGTGGAGATCTGGAGGTGACACATCCGGGGAGGGGCCATCTGCTCTGGAGACAGAGGACCCTGAGCCCCTGGGGATGGCTGTCTGAGGGCACAGCACAAGGAAAGGTTCCCAGGCTTAAAGGACCACAGTGGGCTAGAGAAGAGCTGGGGGCCAGAAAGGACAGAGCCATGACATGACTCACGGGACCAAGGCGGAATGGTCATGAGATTTGAGTTATAAAACCCTCAATGGCACTGCACAGGGAGAGCAGAAGGAAACTGAGCAGATGAGTGGGGCTCAGTCATAGAGGAGAGAAGAGGGGAGAAGCTGGGGGATAGGTCTCAGCATAGGCAAATGGCAGAGAACAGAGGGCCCTAGGACCCTGCTCACCGGCTGTGCACCACAATGGCCGCCTTGGGGAGCCCAGTGGTTCCTGAAGTATAGATGTAAAACAGCCGATCTACAAGAAAAGCAGGTGTCAGGCACTGGGAGAGCTGAGGGTAGAGGGGACAGAAGGGCCCTCCACTTACCATCCATGCCCTTGCCTGGGGCTTGTGCCAGGGGTGTGGTGGGTGCCTCAGCCAGCATGGGGTCCAGCAGCTTTGTGTCAGGCAGGACACTCTCAGGTCCAAGGTCTCCAGAGCAGAACTTGAGAAGGCTCTTCCCCAGCTGCTCACTCACCTCTGCCACCGCTATGGTGATACAAGGCTCAGGGTCAAGGTTAAGAAGCACTTGTCGGCATCTCCCTAACCCTAAGGTCCTTAGGTCCCCACCCCCCACCCACCAGGCCTTACCTGCTGCCATCTCCCCACCATAAATGAGGGCCTTGGCAGCTGATGTGCCCAGGCAGAAAGCTAGGGGCTCCCTCCTCAGGTTGATATTGAGCAGCGCAGCCACCACACCAGCCTTGGCCAGGCCCAGCCACAACCCCACGAACTCGGGCCGGCCCTCCAGGAACACAGCCACCACATCGCCTGGTGAAAAACCCAACTGGTGGAATAGGTTGGCCACCGCATTGGAGTACGTGTCCAGTTGTGCAAAGGTCCAGCAAACACCACTGCTCGCGTCCACCAGCGCCAGGCGCTCCGGCTGTCGCCTGGCCACTGCCTGGAAGATGCGTGGTATCGTATCCCCTGCTCGCCGGTGTCGACGCAGCTCCAGCCTCACACGAATCAGAACTGAGAGGCCGCTGCAGAGAAGGGGTCAAGGTTGCTATCCAGAGCTGCCTCAAGCCTAAGTTCCCCAATCAGGGCCTCAGGACAGCTGGGGGTCCAGTATGCTTAGTCCTTTATGGCTGATATCTCAGGGCAGAAAGCATTAACCAACCTTCCAGGAATCTAAGAAACCCAAAGCCAGCCTGTCTACCACATGAGTGTTAGTCATCATGTAGTCTTCCCTGATGGCCTAGCGTCCTGAGCATCAGGTGTCAGATTCTCTTTTGTTTATTCTCTCTAATGTTGCAGTTGAACCCAGGCCAAACACCCATGCTTAGCAAACCATCTACTATCATGCTCTACACCCTCACAGCTGGGTTCAAGGCAGGGGCTCTACCCTGAGCCATGCCCCCAGCCCTCTTTTTACTTTTGAGTCAGGGTCTGGCTAACTGCCTTCTAGCCTGGAGCTTGCATTCTCCCTTCCTCGGCATCTGGAGTACCTGAGTTGGCAGGTCTGCCTATTGGGAAGGTCTCAGATCCCATTTTTGTTCCTCTCTTTGGGGATATCCCTTGAGTTCCCAACCCCATCACCGCAGGACACAGAGAGATGGTGACCACAGGTCACCCAAGAGAACACACTAAACCTACCAGTATCTTGTATTCCATTTGATAGCTCCTTCCTAGCCCTGGCTAGCCTTGAACTCATGGCAACCCTGCCTTGGGCTACAGAGCCACAGCACAGCTTCCTTCACTCATTCATCCCTTTCCTCATCCATTCATCTCCTCTCCCTTCATACCCTCCCTCACCTGTCCATTACCCCCTCAGGCTGCCCACTGAAGCAATGCTGTTCTGAAGACAGAGTAGTTGCCACCATTCCTCCAGGGTCATAGAGCTCTGAGAGATGATCCCCACACAGTAATGCGCACTGGGCAGAACTGAACACAGTGATGTAGGGAGTGACAGGAGAAAAATGAGGCCTCTCATCAGTGGGTTTGAGGAAGGAGGCGGTGGCCTCCACACAGCTGCTACAAACACCAAAAGGTATGTGCTGTTATGTGCAATTCACGTGGCTAGGGACAGAAGCAGGACATGCTAGGTCCACACTCCACCCAGCAATCACCTCAGCCTTTTCTTTTTCCCTAGGTTGGAACCCTCCTGTGTGCCTGGGTGAGATTCCAGGAACAGAGAAAAATGCCCTGTACCTTCCTCATCCCCATTATCTATTTCCTGTCACTTGTCACTCGCTCGCTGCAGCCAAACAGGGCTCCCTGAAAACACCCAGCACTCTTCCTCCCCAGTTCCTTCTTGCAGGCTACACCAGCCATGTGCTCCCTTCAGGTCTTGGTTCAACTGTGCTATGCTCAGACAAACAACACTCCTGGACCCCCAGAAGTACTGTGTCTGCCTTGACATCTCTTTCCTGGTACCCAGGACCTTCCAAAGCCATGAACGGCAGACGCCCTTCACACCCTGTCCTTGTCTGCTATCTACCTGGAGGGACAGGAGGGAACAAGTCAGGCATGGTGGCATCCTAGCCACCTGTCATCCTAGCACCCAGGGCTGAGGCAGCAGGGTTATGTCTCAAAACTTAAGGAAAAAAAAAAAAAAAAAAAAAAAAAGGTGCTGGAGAGTTTGCTTGGATGCTCTTACAGAGAACCCTCATTTGATTCTCAGCACTGACATGGTTGCTCATGGCTGTCTGTAGCTCCAGTCCCTGTCCCAAAGCCCTCTTCTGTCTCCTGCAGGCATTAGGCATGCAAATGCACATGCGTGCACACACACACACACAGGCAAGACATTTGTTCATGTAAAAAGTAAATAAATAAAAAATTTACAAATATTAAGTAAAAATTAAAAGAGGGGTAGTGAAGGGAAAAGAAGCTAGGAGAGGTTTTGAGGAGATGACCAAGGCCCAAGGTCCAGATCTCCTGGTTCAATGGCTGCTGCAAATAATCCTAGAGGGACGGGAGTACCCAGTGCTTGGTCCTAAGGTCAGCCAGAGATACTGCAGCCCTCAGAAATAGACACACATGCTCCAGTGCTGGTAGAGGTCATCAGCACTCAAGACAGATAGGGGTTATGTTGAAGACTTTGAAGTGAAACCTTAGAGGTGCAATAGGAGAGGGGCTGGGACCCTGAGAACTAATAAAGGTCACCACTAAGGGAGCTGGTTATCATTAAAGCAGCCTGGGCTACAGTGATTGTGAGGCTAGCCTGGGCATAGGACACAAGGTCTCTTTAAAAATCTTGCCTCAAAAATGTTAATATAACATTTAAAAAGCTTTAAATTAAGAAAAAAATCAGACAATGTTTCACTGTGTAGACCTTACTGTCCTATAATTTGCTGTGTAGACAAAGCTAGCCTCAAACCTACAGAGATCTCTCTGCCTCTGCCTCCCAAATGTTGAGATTAAAAGCGTACAAATTGTCCTCCAACTCCACACATACTTGTGCATTCACATGGGCACAGGCACACTCCACACATTAACACCTCTGTGAGCCCAGGACAACCATTCCTGGATGCTTGCAAAGTGAAGAGAATTTTAAGTTTTCATTTTGTTTAAGTTCCATTTGCTGTGTGTGTGAAGATCAGAGGACAATTTGTGGGAGACATCTCTTCCTCCACCTTGTGGGTCCTGGGTATTGAACTCAGGTCATCAGGCTTGAGAACAAGCCTTGTGACATACTCATGCATCTCAGACACCCAGAAGAGACACCGGAGTCACTCGTGCACATGTACATGTGTCCCCACCTGAGGTTAAATGAAGTTTGCCACCTTCACACCCTTGCTCAGCACTGTGCACCAGCATTCCTGCTGGACCTTAGGGCTGTCACAGCTGTATGCTCCTGGATGGTGATCATGTGCTGGAAAGCAGCCCAGACCCTTGTTCTCAAGGAGGCTGTGGTGATTACTATATGCAGACAAGCTGCCATACATGGTAGTCACTCACCATGACCAAATCAACAGTATGTCATAAATAAGGTGAATATAAAGAAGGACACAAGGTATGTATTGATTGGCTGCTGAAAAACAGTTCAGAGCTTAGTGAATGGTGCACACCTGCCATCCAGTACCCAGGGGCAGAGGCAGGGCTAGGGCTTCTAGACATACCTGAACTACATAGCAAGACCCTGCCTCAAGATAAACTGGGGATTTAGGGGTACTCAGCAACCACATGGTGGGTCACAATAATCTGTAACTCCAGTTCCAATTGATCTGATGTGGGTTGGAGAGATGGCTCAGTGGTTAAGAGCACTGGCTGCTCTTCCAGAGGTTCTAAGTTCGATTCCCAACAAGCAAGAGATATGACACTCTCATCTGGCCTCCGTGGACACTAGGAATGTACATGATGCATGTGTGCATGTGTGTGTGTGTGTGTGTGTGTGCGCGTGTGTGTGTATAACACCCATGCTATCCAATAAAGTAATAAAAAATGTAAAAAAGTTTTCAAAATTTGTCTTTCCACATTGAGAACGATAATTAATAAATGGGACCTCCTGAAACTGAAAAGCTTCTGTAAGGCAAAGGACACAGTCAATAAGACAAAATGGCAGAGGGCTGATCTCCAAAATATACAAAGTACTCAAGAAACTAAACACCAAATAATCCAATTAAAAAGTGGTGTATAGATCTAAACAGAAAATTCTCAACAGAGGAAACTAAAATGGCTGAAAGAAATAAGGAATTGCTCAACATCCTTAGCCATCAGGGAAATGCAAATCAAAACAACTCTAAGATTCCATCTTTCACCTGTCAGAATGGCTAAGATAAAAAAACACTAATGATAGCTTAGAGAGGATGTAAAGTAAGGGGAATACTCCTCCATTGCTGGTGGGATTGCAAACTTGTACAGCATTTAGGAAATCAGCATGGTTATTTCTCAGAAAATTGGGAATCAGTCTACCTCAAGACCCAGTACTTTTGGGCATATACCCAAATGATGCGCAACTATGTTCATAAGAGTATTTGTAATAGCCAGAACCTGGAAACAACCTAGATACTCCTCAACCAAAGAATGGAAAAAGAAAATGTGGTACATTTACACAATAGAGTACTACTCAGCAGTAAAAAACAATGACAGCTTGAAAACTGAGGACAAATGGACAGAACCAGAAAAAAAAAAAAAAAAAAAATCATGAGTGAGGCAACTGTTGATGCCCATAAAGATGGCTCTACTCCATCTTGGTTCAAGGGCAGAGTTCAAAACTGTCCTCAGTAAGTCATAAGACCTAAAGGTCAAAGGCATGGCTACAATAGAATGTGTTCTACCTTGGCCTTGGGTATCTTATTCTAGGTAACAACAGACCTGGTCTGAGGTGTGGTTACTCCTGACCCTCAAAGCCAGGTAAAGAGAAGTTGAATCTAAGGTGTGGTTACTGAATCCTTAGAGAAAAGAGGAAGAAAAGTCTGTCTGTTCCGTATACCATGTTCCCCTTTTTGGTTAAGGTATATAAGCATGGTGAAAAATATACTTGTGGCATTTCAGTATTGACTGATTTGCCCTCCTGCTTTTATTCAGAGTCTCAGTCTTTTCCTTTAATGTCTTTAGCTAGCATTTCTTTATCCATACTCCTCATCTCAGGTACAAGCTTCAGGATGCTCAGCTGGCTCTGACTGCAGCCCTGCAAAGAGAGCTTCCAACAGGTAACCCAGACCCAGAAAGACAAATATGGTATGTACTCACTCATAAATGAATATTGGGCATAAAGCAAAGGATAGCCAGCCTACAGTCCACAACCCCAGAGAAGCTGGGTAACAAAGAGGAACCTAAGATCTACCTAGGAAGGGGAAATAGACAAGATCTCTTGGGTAATCATGGAGCATGTGGAGGCGGAGGGAGGTGGTAGAGGAGAGGGGAGAAGAGTGGGGAGAACATGAAGGAATGGGATGATTGAGTTGGAATACACAAGGATGACCCCAGATATAACTCTAAGCAACAGTGGAGAAGGGTGCCTGAATTGGCCTTCTCCTATAATATGACCGAGGACTACCATAATTGTCATCATAGAACCTTCATCCAGTATTTGATGGAAGCAGATATAGAGATCCACAACTAACCACTGAGCCGAACTCCCAGAGTCCAGTCAAAGAGAAAGAGGAGTGATTATATGAGCAAAGGGGTTAAGATCATGATGGGGAAAATACAGAGACAGCTGACCTGAGCTAGTGGAAGCACATAGACTCTGGACTACTGACATAGGACTGAACCAGGCCCCCTAAATGCAGGTGACAGTAGGTGCCTGGGCAGTTTGTGGGGCCACTGGCAGTGGGACCAGGAGCTATCCCTAGTACATAAACTGGCTTTTTGGAGCCCATTTCCTATGGAGAGATACCTTGCTCAGCCTAGAATGGGGGCAGGGGTGGTGGTGGTAGTGGTGGGGAATTGATCTTCCTTCAATGTGGTGATGGGACAGTCTTCATTGACTCCTGATGGGAGGCCTTACCCTCTTTGAGCAGATGGAGTTTTGGGTGAAGGGAAGGGGGGGTGTTTCTGGGATTAGAATGTTAATTAAAAAAAAAGATAAATTTAAAAATTAGCTTTCCATGCTCATCCTATGGTCAAAGCCTGTCAGCCTGGAGCACAAGGCTATGTCTTCTAGGGTGCTAGTGGAAGCAAACAAGGAGTTAGTTTCTAGTGTGATCCTGGAACCATGGCCAAGGACCAGAATAAACAGACAATAGTGAGTCCCTAAGTCAGAACACAGCTCAGTTAATAAACTAAGAAAACCAAACACCACTACCAAAAAATTAAAATGGGGTGGCCCAGGCAGATGTTTGGCCCCAGCATTATTAAACACCTCATATATACCAAGCACTGTGCTGTCTGCAGTTACCCTACACTGTAAAGGCTGTCCCCACAAATGGGATGTGATGGATAAGCTCATTCAGGTAAGTTATCATAGATTAGGTCACACAGCAAGTGAAGAACAGAATGACTAAGAGCTGAACAAAGCTCCATGGGCTCCATCGTACGGATGCTGATGACGCACACAACAGGTACTCAATGTGTGCACCTCAGAAAAAGCATGCTGCTTAAGGATCTAAATTAGAAATAAGAGAGTGGACCACCCAAAGTCCACCTCCAACCAACTTGTTCTCAGCATGCAAATCTTCATCTACTGCATGCCCAAGTGGCTGTACCTTGAGCACTCCTAACTGACCAAGGACCCGTGAAGATGGTAGGCAGGTCAGCTGAGGACACAGGGCTATGGCAGCAGGAAGCTATTCTTCTGGAAGCTGCAAATAGGAACCTGGCCATAACTGGTAGGCCTGTGAGCAGAGGCAGGCCAGGTTCCAGCAGCACTGTGGGCCTGTCAGGGCCCTTCCCTCCAGCTTGCCTCTCCCACCAGTGGGCCCAACCCGGCAGGCAGGGATCCGGTGTTTTTGTCTCTACTACATGCCTTGGCACCCAGGTTGGCAGCTGCCCAAGCCACCCCCACACTATGCACAAAGACAGCTCTGTGCAGCCTGGCCCTTCCCGGGGTCTCTCCCAGCCTTATTCAGCCAGCAGAAAAGCAGGCTGCTTGAGAGACCCTGGAAGGGATGGCAGCTGCTCCTGGACAGCAGGTGAACTGGGCACATCTGGGAGGGAATGTCCAGGACTGGAAGGCTGAGGCAAGTGAATGGGGAGTTTAAGGCCAACCTGGGATCCAGCAAGACTCGGTTTCAAAAACATCAAAGCAAAGACAAAGAGGACTGGAGAGCTGGCTCAGCACCGAGAGCACTGGCTGCTCTTCCAGAGGACCCAGCTTCAATTCCCGGCACCCATGTGGAAGCTCGCCCGTAACTGTCTGTAACTCCAGTTTTTGAGAACCCAACACCCTCACACAGGCATACATACAGGAAAACACCAATGTATATACAATAAACAAAATCATAAAAAATAAACAACAACAAAATCAGAAAAGATCATTCTAAAGGCAAAGGCTGTTCACAGTGGCCAGTCAGACTTGTGGTTACACTGCCTGCCCCTGTCTATGATTGCCTGTGTGACACTGGGTGCTTTATACATCCACATTCTGCTAAGAGATAAAATAATGGTTTCATTATTTTTGTTTACATGTGTGTACACCCACATGTGGGTGAAGAGACTAGAAGATGGCGGTAGATCACCTGGAACTGGAGGTAAGAGTGGGGAGCCAGGCCGGAAGTGCATCTGCATCTGGGTACTGAACCAGCTCCCTGCACTCCACTCAGCCTGGGCTAAGTGGGCAGCTTGCTCAGAGTGCAAAGCCCTGTGCTATAGCCTCAACACTTCGGCAGCCAGATGTGGTGGCACAAGCCTGTCACCCCAGCACTGGGGAGAGAAAGGCAGATGATAAGGAGTTCAAGCTCATTCTTGGCTCCATGAAGAGTTCAAAGTCTCAAGAGCCATCTCCAAAAACAAAACCCTTGAGTGCCCTCACTTGTGTATCTGCTATCACTTCTCAGCTGTGCCTTCTCTGACCCTCTACTAATTTGCTTTGAATGAAGTTTCTTCACTACTTTGAGAAAAGAAAAACAGAAAGAAAGAATCCAGGAGGCAGACACCAGGCAAGAACCACTTTATGAAGAGAAACCTCAGGACCACTCAGCTTGTGATCCCTCCCCATATTGCACACCATTCTGCTGTCCCCCATAAACCTGTTTCCTGCAACTTAAAATATTCAGTGTGCCTCCTAAAGGAGGCCTGTGAGGGTGCTCAAATGGAGACTTCAAATCCCAGCAACATCGAGGTTACCCCAGAATGACCCCCAGCTCTTCTCAACAAAGCCCTGAGGGACATTCCAGAAGCCTCCAGGTTCCCTGCAAGCCATAACTCCCCAGAAACTTCACCTACAGAGACCCCCTGGTACACAGTGACTGCCCCACACACCCGGAACGATGCCCAGTTCCACACAGATCTCATCCATCCGAGAAGCCAACACTCTTTAAAGACCCCTTAGGCCTTTAGACTCCCCAAGACGTTCTTTCTTCCCAAGCCCTCTAGAGTGGAGGCCCTCTCACAGTCTCCACCTCCAGGTCTCTAAACATTTACCAATTACCCAGATTCTAACACCCTAACAGCCCACGAGTCCCATCATGTACTCTACCCAATTCCCTCCACAACTCCCGTTCTGTCTCCTGTAGGATCCCGCAGAGCCCTGCAATCTGTCACTCCAGACTCAGGCCCCGACCCAGTCTATAAAAGCAACCCAAGTCACACGCGGACCCTCAAACCAGCCCGCAAGACTGTAGCTAGCCCTAGGGCCATGCATCCATGGCTCCTGACTTTCAACTCCAACTACTTACAAGAGGTCCCGCCTCGCCGTCTTGCAGACGATACGCAGGAAGCGCCAGCCGCCGCCGCCCACGTACACGCCGAACGCCGCCGCCGCGCTCCAGGTCCACGGAAGCCCCAGCAGCCAGAGCAGAGCCAGAGAGGCCACCGAGGCCGTCCCCGCTCCCGGAGCCCGCATCCTGCAGAGCACACTGCTGAGGCCGAGGACACCGCCCCCAGCCTAGTCCTGGCCCCGCCCAGGCCGCATCCTTGACCTTGGCCACACCGCCTCTCCTCTAGCAGTTGCCTAAATCCAAATGTGTTTACTAAGAACCTGGCCCCGCCCCCACAACCTCCGAGCCATGCTCCTGAGAAGCCTAAACCCCACCAATTTTCTTAACCTGCACCGCCTCAAGGTCTGGGATTGGCCACATCGCTGTCAATCATTGCCCTCTGATCCGCCCCCAGCCCCAGAATTTCTACCTCAATGACAGACCCCGCCCACACCTTGACCATAAGGTTAGACGACCCCCTCCCCGCTAATTTCCACCCCTGAGCTTCAGCCCTCCAAGCTTGGGGTCGCCTTCGTACCCTGAATACACCTAGACCCTTTGCAGTCAATGGTCCAGGCCACGCCCCCATGTCGCCCCATCCCTCTCCCGTGTCCCAAAATTCACATGCTGTCCTTAAGCTTATCCGGCCTCAGAGCCTGGGTGTTCCTTCAGCTGCTGCTTCTGCTCCCTAACTAACCCCTGATCTTTACACCACGACCCCAGCTGAGGCCTCTATTTCCGCCCACAAGTGGGAGCCCCAAATCAAAACCCCGCAACCTGATCAAGGCTCCTCCTCCAGATGGGCCTGTGGCTCCGCCCCCCGCGCACAAGCGCGCACGCTTCCCCAAATCCCTCCTACAGGTGAGGCCCACGGTTCCTCCCACAGGCCTGAACCAGGCCCCGCCCCCAGCAGAGTCCCGTGACCCCGCCAAGCACGCACCAGCCCGCTATGACTCAGGCCCCGCCCCATGTGATGCATGGCCCCGCCCACAGGCGCGGGCCCGCTCCCAGCCCCTAGTCTATCTGACATTCGGGACCCAGAATCTACCTGGGCCTCCAGCGCCTCCCTCAGCCCTTTCCAGTCACGGCTCACGGGAAGGCCGAGTCAATGCAATTCACCCAGCGCCTAGCTCCCCCCCCCCAAACCCTCTCCCCTGCCGCCTAACGCTCCCAGCCCCTCACCCTGCTCCGCCCAAGCCGACCCCCTTCCGGAGGACTGTACCATAGAGAAGATACGCGGGCCAGAGAGCCTATGGCCAAAGAGACTCGCAAGCTAGAGCGACCCGACCCGGTTACCTACCAGTCTCCACGGCAACCAAGTGCGGGCGAGGGGGAGGGGAGCTCCTCGTCCTAGCGTGTGATGAAAACACGCAGGTGCTGAGGACTGGACCATGGATCCAGGGGGCGTGGCTCCGGCGCGCGTGAACCAAGAAAGTATCCAAGATCCCCATCCCCACGGCCCGAGGTACCCAGCTCCCGCCAAGGGCCCGCCTGTGCTGGAGCCTACTTTAACCAGCTTGTCCAAGATCCAAGCCCCGAGGCTTCTCCGCATTCCAGGCTCCCAGAGAGTTGAAGTCCACACCCTGGGGGCCCAGAAGCCTCAGTCTTGGAGATAAGGAGTCCCCCACACCTCTCCAAAATCTTAACAAGTCACATCCCAGAATCCCAGGGAAGTATCAAGTACACATCATGTCCCCCATTCTTCCTTGACACAAGCCCTTCTTGCACCCCAGGATCCCCACCCACGAAACCCTGTTGCACCTCAGGATCCTTTATTACTCCCCAGGGTCAGGAGCTCCCTCGAGCCCTGTTTGCACACCATAGTCCTAAGCACCCATCCAGAGGCGCCCCTATCCCTAGCCTCCTGCTAGGGTGTCCCCTACCTGCTGTCCCGCGGACCTGCTCAGGCTTGCAGACCCCCGGGCCTCGCTGCTCCCTCGCGGATTGTAACTGAAGCTACGGTAGGAGGCCTGGACACGGGAACTTCTGAGTTCAGCCCTTGGTGGATCACTTCGCAGGATGAGCCCTTGGCAATACTGGACACTTGTCAATGCACAGAGGCCCTGCGTGCCTCGGCCCTGTCCCTCCCAGACACCCTCCCACGCCCCCTACCCACCCTGCTGGCTTACTTGTTTTCTGCCCGGCTTGGCCGACCTTCCCACAGCTCTCTTTGGGAGGAAGCCAGCCGGGGCCGTCTTCCAAAGCCACTCGAAGGCCAAGGCTGGGCAGGCGCGGCCCCACCCCCGCCCGCAGTTGCTATTGGTCTCAGGGAGGTGGGTGGTGGGATTGGGGGCTGCTGAAGATCCCGAACGCTGGACCAGCCAGCCAGGGGTAAACAAGGACCAGTCTCTAGATCTGCCCTCGCTCCCTCTACTGCGACCATCCATTTTACAGGTAAAGACACTGAGCGCTGTAACAGGCCCACCAGTTTAGGTCTGGGATTCAGCCCTGCCGCCAGCCCTCCTTTCTCACGGCCTCCTCTTGTTTCCATATTCTTGGAACATCTCCTGTGCCCTTTACCCTACTTCCTCCTCCAGCCATCCAGTCTCTTCCTCCCTCCTTCCTCTCCTCCCCCCCTTCTCCTAGTATGCAGAGCACTGACCCCTCATCGGATTCTGAGCACCTGCTGCACAGTTGTCATCCCAATATCTGAAAGGTTGATAGCAGGCTAGCAAGGACTTCCGTTTGATCCTCAGGATCCACATGGTGGAAGAGAACTCCCAAGAGTTATTTTCTGACTTCCCCAAACAGGAACATACTTAATGAATAAATTAATTAATCAACAGCAACAAAAAATAAACAAATAAGTAAATAAGAAAAAATAAATACAAATAAAGGCTTGCCTCTAATCCCCGGGTCATGGGGAGTAAAGAAGGAGGCTTTTGAGTTTGAGGGTGTGATAGCCTGGATCTAGAAAGTGCCCATTTGGAAGCTCTGAAGATGTGGAAGAAGGGGCTCAGCCCATAGCGTGCTTGCTTAGCATGCAGGAAGGCCTGGCTTCCATGCCCAGGGTCCTCACTCCATAAACAAGGTAGGCACACAGGAAGCCCCAGGTTACCCAAGAAGACTACAGTGGGATACAAAGACCCCAGAGAAGGAAGGACAGTGGTGGTGTTGGTGACAGCCAGAGTTGACGCACATTCAAAATGTCCTTTCTGATGGTAGCTGCTTGAAATTGATGAGGCAAGCTGAGCATCACAGAAGCTTCCTGTTTTTCACTTTAATCTTTGACTTTCAGCTAGGTCACCCTCACCCCCAACATTTCTATCTTTTCTTTTTATGCTATCACCTTCAACTGAGCATGTGCAGGGCAGAAGAGAGGGCTCAGCAGGTAAAAGTGCTTGCCACCAAGCCTGATGACCCAAGTTCGATACCCAGGACATTGTGGACAGAGAACCAACTGTTGTACATTGTCCTCTGTTCTCTGTAAGTGCACTGTGGCATGTATGATTTCATACCAAAACAAAACAAAGCAATCTCCAGAGTCCTCAGGACCTTGCTTTGGAATGACTTTTGTGTTCTGCTTTCCTGTGGCAGACAATAAACTTCTGTCCAACTTCTTTGCCTTCTCTGTGCTGGCAATGCAGGAGGATCCTGTGATCAGGGTCAACCTTGGCTACATAGTAAATCTGAGGACAGCCTGGTCTACAAGAGACCGTTCTTAAAAACAACAAACACTTCATTGAGTTGTATGGGGGCATGTCCAAACCCTGAACACAGACTGCAGCTGCCTTGAGTGACACACTCACCTTGGAAAAGTTTATTTGGATTTTGATAGTTGGAAACCTCTGAGTTTCCAGATGTAGTGATGAGAAGGGACAGAAAAGGGAGGATTCTACAGTATTTGTTTCATTTTTTTTTAACCAAAAATTATTGCCTAGAAATGAATTGCTAGAGTTGTGTCAAGCGTATTCCTTCATATCCCTTCATTACTGGAGTTTATTATTTTGTTTGCTTTACTGTGTTGCGGATGGGAGCCAGACCCTGAACCATGCCCCCGGTACTGGTGAACCCTGAGCCATGCCCCCAGCCCCTCACAAGGCTGGGGGTGGTACAGGCAGGGGCTCCACTCCCAGCCACACCCGAGCCCCTCTCATTTTTGTCCTATATCCCAGGGTGTGCTAGAACTTACGATGATCCCCCTGCCTCTGTGCTGGGTTCACAAGCTCTGTTTTGTTAACACCTTGCAAGCAGCTTGCCTCTCTGCTGAAGGCCCATGAGGTCTCCCTACCCCCTCAAAGAGATGCTGAGCCTGTCGAGGTCAACCTATAGGAGGATTAGGAAGCTAATCTGGTTTCTGAAGTTCCTATTCCTGGGGCTAGAGGAACCCAGTAAGCAGGCTCTGGGCCACACCACATCTCTCTCCTGTGTCCTCAGCCCCTCATACGCTGCTACCATGGTAACCCTCTTCTCTGGTCGAACTTTGATCAGGAATAACAGCAACCAGGATGAAGTGGAGACCGAGGCAGAGCTGAGCCGCCGGTTAGAGAATCGTCTTGTGCTGCTGTTCTTTGGCACTGGAGCCTGTCCCCAGTGCCAGGCCTTTGCCCCAGTCCTCAAAGACTTTTTTGTGCGACTCACTGATGAGTTCTACGTGCTGCGGGCGGCACAGCTGGCCCTGGTCTACGTGTCCCAGGACCCCACAGAGGAGCAACAGGACCTATTCCTCAGGGACATGCCTGAGAAGTGGCTCTTCCTGCCATTCCATGATGACCTGAGGAGGTGAGGCCCCAGGAAGGCCAGGGAGGGCTTCCAGGAGAAGGCAAGGGCAAGTCAGTGTTTACCGTTCTAGTACTAGAAGCTAGTGCAGAGAGAAGGGGTCCATCCCTCATCCATTATAGCCCACTGAAAGGGACCAATATGAAGCAAAGGCTCAGGAAAACATCTGATGGCAGCTAGAGGTAGTTGCAGAAGCCTGCCATCCTGGTACTTGGAGCTGAGGCAGGAGAATTGCTAAAAGTTCAAGGCCACCTCCAAAAACAAGAGGTGGGTATTGTAGCTCATGCTTGTCCAGCATTGGTGAAGTCATAATTCTATCCACAGCATTGCGTAAAGTAAACCTGACTTGGGGGTGAGCATCTGCAGTATCAACACAAGGACAGTGGAGTCAGAATTATCAGGAGTGTGAGGCTAGCCTGGACTGTGTAGAGTGACCCTGCTCCAAGCCAACAAAACCTACCAGAAATGTCAAAATGAGAGAGAAAACCCTCCTCACCAGGAGCTGAAGGATACAGAGAGGCATGGCCTGGAAGGTGTCCGAGGGGGCACCACTGCACTGTGGAAAGGACAGTTCAGAACTGAGTCATTCCCAGAGCTCCAGGAAGAGCCAGCTTCACCAGGGAGGGTGGGAATCTATGACCCAGGGAGAGGAGTCATACTTTTTCTGGAGGAGGGGTGTTGGATTTTGGTTTTTTGAGACATGGTTTCAGTATGTAGTCCTGGCTGTCCTGGAACTCACTCTGTAGACCAGGCTGGTATAGAACTCACAGATCCACCTGCCTCTGCCTCCCCAGTGCTTAAAGACATGCACTACCACCATCACAAGGCAAGGAGCACACTGTAAGCTGGTGGCTGATAAAGGGTCTGCAGCTGTGTCTGTTTAAGGAGGAATCTGTATCACAGGGTTTCATGTAGTCCAGGCTGGCTTCCAACTGGCTATGTAGCCAAGGCTGGCCCTGAACTACTCCTGATCCTCCAGTCTCTGTCTCCCAAATGCTGGGGTGTCAGTTACCACACCAGGTACTTTGACATTTATTTTTGTTTTTGCATGTGTGTGTGTGTCACACACATACATGTGCCTGCCCTCAAACATGTGTCTTGTTACATGCACTGCCCATGTGCAGGTGCAATTGGTGTGTTCCCCAGTGTGGAGGTAAAGGCTGATGTCAGTCACTCTGCCATATTCCTTGAGTCAGGATCTCTCACATAAACCCTGAGCTCACAGACAGGACTAGATTCACAGCCAGTGAGCTCCAGGGGTCCCTTGGCAACCACATCTACCCTACTTTTGGGCTGCTGGGACCAAAGCAAGCCCTTATCCTTGGACAGCAAATATTTGACCCTCTGAGTCACTGTCTAACTTTGCTTGGTGTTGTGGCTTGGAACTGACAGTAATCCCCCTGCCTCAGTTCCCTAAGTGCTGGATGACAAGCACACATTACCACCACACTCAACTTCTCATTTGTGCTACCAGTAATTAAAACCAGAAGCCCCGAGTTCCATCCCAGTTCTGAGACAGACTCAATGTAGCAACATCTGGCCACCCAGGACCCTGCTCCAGGAGCTACACCACCTTCCATGTGCCCCTGGTTGAGCTGACTCAGGACTGGTATCTGCGCTGATTGGGGGAAGGGGAGCTGTGGAGTCTGTAATGAGCAGCTGACTACCTGACTTTTCGCCCATTTCACTGACTTTCTTGCACAAGTTCAAGGATCTGGTCATGGGACCCTATCATGATCAGGGTTGGGACACCATTCACTGTTCTGTGAAATCAAGTGGACTCCCTCCCCTCCACGCCATGAGGAGCATTTCTGTTCCCAGAGAAGAAATACAAGCTACAAGTGTCATACCATAACCTGCTATCTGGGGCAAAGTTCACAGCCATATCCTGGTGCGGTATGTAGGCTTCTCATCCCAGAACTTGAAGGGAGGATCAGGAGTTTAAGGCCACCTTGCTACACAGAGACCCTGAGGGTGGCATAAAATAAGCTGGAGTCTGACTCTGAGGTTGAGAGCACCGCAGCCATTGGAGAGGACTTGTGTTTAGTTCCCAGCACCCACATGGAGGCTCACACCAAGTCCTGTTTGGGGGGCTCTGGTGCCCTCTCCTGGTGTCTGCGGGCACCACCTTCAGGTGGTGCACAGCCATACATGGAGGCAAACACGCACAGAAAACAAGCAGAGCAAATGGGGTCTGTGCTTTCAGTGGGCAGAGTACTTGAGTAGCAGACATGAAGAAGCCCTGAGTCTTAACCCCAGCCCTACCCCATAAACCAGGAGTGGAAACATACACCACCACCCCATTATCGGGAGTATACGTCACTTCTTTGTCTGGTTTGGTTTGGTTTCTAGACAGGATGTCGATATGTAGCCCTGGATGTCCTGGAACTCATTCTGTGGACCAGGCTGGCCTCATCTCTGCCTCCCAAGAGCTGGGATTAAAGGCGTATGCCACCATGGCTCAGCAAAAGTCACCCTTATCTATAGAACCATGAGGCCAGCTTGGGCCTCAAAAAGAAATCAAAAACTCAACAACAAAAACTAACCAAGAGTCATGGATTAAGAAAGTCAGCTGAGCCGAGGGGTGGTGGTGCACACCTTTAATCCCAGCACTAGGGAGGCAGAGGCGTGTGGATCTCTGTGAGTTCAAGGCCAGCCTCATCTACAGAGTTCCAGGACAGCCAGGGCTACACAGAAACTGCCTCGAAAAACGAAACAAAAACTAAATCTCAGTTCAAATGTCTCCCCCACGATATTTGATAGCTTTTCACAGTATGCATTCATTCATTCGATTCCTCAGCTGGCCTGGCTGTTTGAAATCCCTGCCCCCAGGGCTTCCCTCTTCACAACGACAGAAAAACAGTACACCTACATACATACTCAGGTGGACACCTAAAGGGAGCAGGCAGCAGGGGAGAGGGAGGGTGTAAGGAGCCTGTGCAAAGGCCCCAGGGAGCCAGCGGGTCTTCGGGTCTGGGCCATGGGGGGCAGCGTGCGCACCGGGAGCTGAGGGGTTGCGATGGCGGGCTGACACACGCTCCCCCCAGGGACCTCGGTCGCCAGTTCTCTGTGCGTCGCCTGCCGGCTGTCGTGGTGCTCAAACCAGGTGGAGACGTGCTGACGAGCGACGCGACAGACGAGATCCAGCGCCTGGGACCCTCCTGCTTCGCCAACTGGCAGGAGGCGGCGGAGCTGCTGGACCGCAACTTCCTACAGCCCGAGGACCTGGACGAACCCGTGCGACGCAGCATCACCGAGCCCCTGCGCCGCCGCAAGTACCGCGTGGACCGAGATGCGGGCCGGGGCCGGAGCCGGAGAGGCCACGACTCCGGTGACCTCCAGGGGAATGAGGGTGCAAGGGCAGAGCTCTGGTGAACCCCCAGAGGAACTCTGGTTCAGGGGCGGGGCTCTGCTGACTCCCAAGGGGAGCGGGATGCGGGGGCGGGATTCCAGTGACCCTCAGGAAAACACTGGCACAAACCGGTGATCCCCAGGGGAATGCGGGTACGGGGCTCCGGTGACCCTTAGGGGAACCCGGGTGCGAATGTGGGGCTCCAGTGACACCCCTCTCAGGGGTGGTGCTCCCGTTAGCCATCTCCCGCATGATCATGAAGCTTCCTAGACAGTAGCCAAGACTAGTCCTGAATTCACCATTCTCCTGCATCAGCCTAAGGAGTAACTGGAATGGCAGCCAAAGAAAAAGGTTTCATTTCCAAGTCTCCCATAGTCCTTGCAAGAACATAGGAGTCCCCACGAACAAGTCCTGGACATGGTATCTGGAGCTTAGTGCATGCTAAGAAAGTTTTCTACCCATAGAACCCCAGCCTCAAACCTGTTAAAAACAAACAACAACAACAAAAAAATACTCCTGCAAACCGACATTGTGGCACAGGCCTGCTCTGGACGCAGATGCAGAGCCGGCGAGAACTCAGTGCGTTCGGAATGGCACATGCTGTCAAGACTGACAACCCAAATTTGGACGCCCCAGAACCCACATGGTGTAAGGGAGAACCGACTCCCACAAGTTATTGACCTCCGCAGGCTCCTGGTGGCATGAGCTCGCCCACACACTTACAAATGAAAATACTATTTTAAGTCTTGTGCAAAATAACAAAATAAAAATAAAGAAAAAAGAAAACAAAGATGTGTGCAGAAAAAGGGTCTGGAGTTCAAGGCCGTTTTCGGTTACTTAGTGGGCTCTACAATGGCCTAAGTAAGATACTAGACCCGGTCTCAACAAGTAAGCCTCGGTCTAGCGCCACCCCTGGGGCAGGCATCTTCCTCTAAGTGCTGAGACCCGTGTGCCCATGGTCTCGCTTTGCTTAGGGAGCCCCCAGGCATGCAAATGAGATGAACCTCTCCCGGGTTAAACAGAAGCAGGGAAACCCGACTTTCTGGAGCAAGAATCTGACTAGATGGGGTAGGAGGCAACCAACCAGAGGAGTCCTGACTCCTCAAGCAGCTCATTCACTTCTGTTCCCAACTTGGAATAGTGCGGGAAACCGAGGCTCAAAACTGAATAAGGATATCTGCTAGCCACCAAGCCTAACTGTCTGAACTGGATCCTGGGTACCCACATGGGGCAAGGAGAGAGCCTTGCTCCCACAAGTTGTCCCTTGACCTCTATCCATGCCCCCCCACAAGAACTAACAAATTTAAGTTTTAAATTATGATTATCATTTTGTTTTTTCGAGACAGGGTTTCACTGCATACATAGACTTGGATGTTCTTGGAACTCACTTTATAGACCAGGCTGGTCTCGAACTCAGATCTGTCTGCCTTTTCCTCCCTAGTGCTGGAATTAAAGGCATGCACCGTCACCACCCAGCTGGGATTTTAAAATATTAATTAAAAAAAGAAAATTAGAAATCATTATTCACCCCTTATGGGAATGCAAAATTTGTACAGTTGCCATGGGAACCTGTTTTGTAGTTCCACACACAACAGTAAAATGGAGTTAGCATAGGAATCAGCAATTTGATTCATAGAACTTCACTACTGGCAGGGGCTACCATATCTGCATGTGCTTGTTTGTAGCATTATGAGTGACACTTGCCAGGAGGTAGATGCACCCCAAATATACATGAATAGACCAACTCATGTGGGTATGTCCAGAGTTGGGTACTGCTCAGCCATGAACAGAAAAAAAGCAGGGACACAGGCTACAACTTGTGGTATTGAGTGACAGTAGTCAGACACCTGGCAGATGTCCCACACAGGAAAAATTTCAAAGGGGCTGCTGGCCCATGGAGGGAAGTGGGGGGGGTCACTGAAGGGAAGGGCTCTCTTAAAGAGATAGCATTCCCAATCAGAGGTGGATTGCATTGTAAATTTGCTACCAACCACTGAATAAAAAAATGGATACTTTTATGAAAGTTTCATCTCAATTTGTTGAAAGTAATCATTTGAGTAGCAGGGTGGTGATGCTGCATGTCTTTAATTCCAGTACCCAGGAGGCAAAGACAGGTAGATCTCTGAGTTCCAGACCAGCAGGGTCTACAGGAGAGAAATCCTGTCATGAAAAACAAAACAAAAACATAGTCATTTGAAACATGCTCTGTCAAGGACATGGGCGGACACATAGGAAGCAAGGTGGCTGGAAGCTTCCAGGCAGTGAGTGGAGAGAGATGACAGCTACTGGTGACACCTTAGGCTGTACAAACATGAGAAAGAATTTTTTTTTTTTTTTCTGAGGCAGGGTCTCTCAATACAGCCCCAGCTATCCTGGGCTCAGTGTGTAGACCAGGCTGGCCTTGAACACAGAGTTCCTCCTTCTTCTGCCTCCTGAGTGCTGGGGTTAAAAGCATGTGCCATCACCACCGGCCTAATTTTCCTTTTTATTATGTTTGGGGTGGCATATGTGCATCTGAGTGAAATTGAGACCAGAGGATGTAGGATTCTCCTGGCCCTGGAGTTACACAAATCTGTGAACCGCCTGACCTGCAGGGAACAGAACTCTTAACAGTTGAGCCAGCTCTCCAGCCCCTCTGTTTACTTTTAAAGACAGTGTATTCTAGGTCAGACTGTCTTCTGTGCCTATAGTGCCCCAGCCTAAGCCTCTGAATTGCAATGACAGGCCTGTGTTAGTGTGCCTATAGATACATACACATCTAATATAGGAAGAGGGCTCAGTGGGTAAGAGGACTGGCTGCTGCTCTTGTACATGGAGGTTCGGTTCCCAGCATCCACATGGTGGTTCACAACCATCTGCAAACGTCGCCCACGCCCTCTTCTGGTCTCCACAGGTATCTGCCATGCACAACATGCACAAATGTACATGTGGCAAGACACTCACTCATACACACAAAATAAATAAATATCTATTTATCTAGTAAACCTTCAAACCCGCCCATTAGGGAGTGGCGATCCAAACGGGTCCCAAGACCCGTCCATTTCCGGGCACGGTCCCAAGACCACACCACCTGTGTTCCCCGCCCAACTAGACGACTCCTCACCGCCCCAGTCCCTGCAGCCCTCCTGGGCTCTGCCTTGCAAGACCCGGGGGGGGGGGTCCCACCCATTATTGCCTGCGGCAGCTAAGCCCCGCCTCACTCTGGACTGCACACGTGGAAGACCGGTCCCTTCAGAACCCGTTGTTGGGACACAGCTGAGCTCGGTCCTCTTAAGCCCCTCCCTCACTCCAGCCTTCTTGGCCCCACTTTAGTCCCGCCCCGCTCCTCAGCAACAGGTCCTGCCTTTCTGGCTCTCCCCGCAGCCCCTCTCCTGTTCCCCCACCTCCGTCTCCCTCAACACACACTTCGGGGCGGCGCCAGCAGCAGGAGCAGAGAAGAAAACACTTCCTTCCACGTTTTCGCGCAGCTTCCACGTCCTAGCGCCCGAGGCCCTTGTCTAGAGCCTCTGTGACGCTCCACCCCACCCCAGGATCCCTGGCCGCCCCCCTACCCTCGCCTTCTCTCCACCCAAGGCCGGTGCCATGGGCCGCTCTTACGGAGGCCGGGTGCTGGCCGCGATGACCCTGCGGGGCATCCCAGCAGCCGTGCTGGTCGCGCTGGCAGCGCAGTTGCTGTTCCAGCTCCAGGCAGGGCGCGCCGAGCTGCGGGCTGTGCACACCAATGGGATTCACCCTGAGCTTGACCCCGACGCGGGGCTACCTGAAGCTTCGGCTGGGGCATTGCTGCCCCTGGCGACTGCACTGGCCGCACTGGTGCAGGTCCTCGGGCTTAGCTCCCTGCTGCTCGATGCGCTCTGCGGACACCTGGGCGCTGAGCTGGCACGTGGGCTGGGGCCGGGCAGGTAGGACGCCACCGCCTCTACCTGCAGAGGCGGAAACTGAGGTTCCCGTTCCTTCCCGCACTGGTGCTTGGGGTACATCCCGGGGGGCACATACCAATCATCGGAGTTGCACCCCAGCCCCGCGGTAGAGTTCAGGAAGGGCAGGACTGCCGGGTGTGAATCCTCAGCAAGCCTGGCCAGGGGTCGCGTGCTCATTTCCCTGAGCTCAGGAGTGCTGGTGTAAGTGGTTTCACCTGGAACCGTTGGGATGTGGTGAGATGCCCTCCTTATCCCACCTTGACTCTTTGCTCTCACAGCAGCCTGATGCTGGTGGAACCGTGTAGATTCAAGCAGATAGGTAGGTGGGTGCGTGTAGGTACATGGCGGTGATGATGAGTGGGTGAGTGGACAGCTAGGTAGGTCGGCAGGTGGAGGGGTCAGCAGCTTCTAGACCCTTCTAGACCCTGGTGTCACTGGGTCACTGTCCCTTTTCCTTTGGCCCTCCCTCAGGTCGGACTGGTTTCTGTACGACTGCCGCCTCCTCAGGCACTTTGCGCTTGGCCTGTTCTGCTGTGGGGTCTCCGTCTACTTAGCAGGTGTGTGGTGGGCAAGAGGACTGGCAAGGTCACACAGGTCTCTGGGGCCACTCAGCCTGAGTTCGGGCAGTTGCTCCAAATTTTCTCTTGGATATGCTCTGTGCCTTAGTTTCCTCATCAACCAAGAGTGATGAGTGTCCCTGGTGCTTAGAATGGACAGAGGATTCTCCATTAATATTCACTATTTATTCCTTATTATTACTACTTATCATGTAGGCCAGATTGGCCTGAAAGTTGCTTTGTGGCCAAAGCTGGCCTTGGACTTCTGGTCTTGCTTTCACCTCTCCAGTCTCAGGAGGACAGCCATATGTGGTGCCCACGGTGCCCACAAAGGTCAGAGGCCTTAGATCTGGAGCTGCAGTTTCAGGCAGTTCTGAACTACAAGGGTTCTGGGATCCAATCCCGGTCCTCTGCAAGAACAGACAGTGTTCTTAACTCCGAGCCATTTCCCAGCCTGTTGTGATCTTTGCTTTTTCTTACTTGTTAGACAGAGTCTCACATAGTCCAGGCTGGTTTCAAACTCTTTGCAGCCAAGGGTGAGCCTGGGTTCCTGAACCTCCTGCACCCACAGTGTGGGATGACAGGAAGAGCCACGCCCAGTTCACTGGTGCTGAACCCAGGACCTTATGCAGGCAAATCAAACACTCTACCCACTGAGCCACACCCCAGGCCCTGAGAGAACTGGGTTTTGCATTTACCACGCTGTGACTGGAACCTGGGATCCAGGACACACTAGACAAGTGCTGTACTACTGAGGGGCCTCTGGCAGAAGGGGCTGGAGACATGACTCAGGGGTTAAGAGTACTTACTGCTCTTCCAAGGGACTGGAGTTTGGTTACTAGCACTCATGCCAGGCTGCTCACAGCCTCCTTGAAGTTCAGGAGATCTGACACCCTCCTCTGGCCTCCTTGTGCACCCACACAGAGGGGCCAGGGTGAAAAGTAATCTTTAAGTAAATTTTTAGGTCTGGCTCACTGATGACTGTTAGCATATTTCTTGGGACACACTTGCAGAGAATCTGCCTCCACATTGTCCCCTGACGTGTATGTGTGCACTGTGGCATGCTACACATACACAGTGAACAAATGCAGTAAAAAAATGCAAAAAAAAAAAAAAATAGTAAAATCTCATCTGTATCCTTCCAGGCTTTGAGGCTTTGGGGTGTTGTTCTCCATCCCCAATGGTGTTTTGTCTGCTTGTCTGTCTGTGTACTTGCTTGAGACCTGAGCTCAGAACTTGGGTCCCAGGTGCTTAGGAATCATGGTGCAGTGCTGGGAACCAAACCCAGGTTCTCCTAGCCATGGAACCCTGTATTTAGTCATTTTTGCTGTTTGATTGTTTCTTTGTTTTGAAAGTGGGGTCTTACCATATATCCCTGGATGTCCTGGAATTCACTCTGTAGATCAGGCTGGTCTCAAACTGAGAGATTGGCCTGCTTCTAACTCCCGGGTGCTGGGATTAAAGATGTGCACTACCACCCCTGGCTGGTTCCCTTATGTCAAGAAGGCCATGAGAGTGATGTGTCTTCCAAAGATGCATCTACTTACTCTGGTCCAGGGTTCTCTGCTGTTACTCTGTGTTTGAGGGGTCCCCCCACCCCTTAAGGGCTTGGAGAACAAATGTTTGTTGAGTGAATAAGTGAGCCATTCCTTCCTCAGCTCTGGCCATTTATGCCCTGCTGCTCTTCGAGATTGAGGCAGGTGCAGCAGCTGCATCTGTCCTGGGCTCAGGTGCCCTGATCCTGGTGGCGGTGATGACTCATACCCTGCTCCGGGCTATTCGGGCCACTCGACAGGGTCTCCATGAGCTGTCTCCACCATCCTTTGAAGATGAGCCGACCCGGCCTCCAGAAGACTCCAAAGCTGGCTGCAGGGCTCAGCCCCATCAGGGTACCCATTGCCAGACCCTCTCTGCTTCCTCCCAGGAGCCTGGGGACTCCCCTGGGCTCATGGCCACTGGTATCACATCCACAGTCCTGGGGAGAGCCAGGGAATTCAGTCTTCCTGCTTCCCACCATCCTCAGGCACAATTGGCTGTCAGGGGCCACTGGGACAGGGTCACTCATGAGATGCATAGCACGATGGGCCACAAACCACTGGACATGGGAAAGGATGCTATACTGGTGTGAGCTGGCAATCAGGGGTAAGATGACAAGATGATGACACTGCAGAGATAGATCCAGCTCACCTACTGTAGCCATGGGCCTTCTTCCCTCTGAGTTTATGGAATCCTTGACATGTCAAAGTGGCCTCATGAGGCAAAATAGCTGCTACTGCTCCAACCTTTTCCTCCTTGCTAAGAGGGATAAACAAAGGCCAGGGATGAGTCTTTGAGACCTTTGCCTGCATCTCACTGTGCAAACATTGACTAATAACCAGACCTTGATACAGGGGAGTCTGAGGTTCTTTTATAGATGCGGGGAGGGTTGGGCTTAGGTTCTGGCTCTCAGTGGTTCTCTATCCATTTTACAGATGAGAAAACGAAGGCCCCGGAAGGGGCTGTGACTCACCAAGTTTCCCATTTCTGAGCCCGGACTTGCATCCAGGTCCTGTGACCCCATTCCCATGTTCCTGGACGAAGGCTCCAGTCTTAGACCTCCACTCTCTGATATTCCCTGGGAAGCTGTGGACATTTGAAGCTCTCATGTGTGGAGGCAGCTCAGAGCAGCCCACAGCCAGGAGCATTCAGCGATGGCTGAGTGCGTATCATTATTGTGCCTCGTTTCCCTTATCTGTAGTATGGAGACAGAAGAGATTGCAGGAAGCTGCACACAGTAGGCCCTCAGTACATATTAGCCATGTGTCTTAGTTGTTTTTGACAAAAGCCACTAAGAAAGAAAAGGCTCAGGTCCCTGGCCTGTCTCAGTCAGTTCTGTGGTGATAGAACACCCTGCAAACGCTGCCTGAGGGGGCAGGGACTTCTGGCCCACACTCTAAGGGAAGGAGTATGAGGCAGTGGGTCACATGACCCCCTACCCCCAGTCAAGAGGCAGAGAGAACGCTGCCTCAGGATCATCCCTCCAGGCATGGCCTGCTGCACACATTTAGTATGGGCCTAGAGACTGCCACCCTCACACAACCAGAGGCCAGTCTCCTGTTGCTGGCATGTGTGAGGAAGCAGAAGGCTGCCTCCTGAGGGGACCACCATGGCCACAGAAGTCTCCATCCCTTTCCAGACTGTACAACCCCAGGAATAAACTCCGGTGGTGGCTTGCTTTGTTTTGTTGATTTTGTTTTTTAAGTCAGGGTCTGATATAGTGCAGGCTGCCCTTGAACTCCCTGAGTAGCCAGTGATGACCTTGGAGTCCTGCTGCCCCCTGGCCCTTCCATTTGAATTACTGCACCCTGGCCCTTACTGGCCACTCCCGCTGGTCCCCTCTGCTCTTGAGCTCTGGAGTTCTCCAAGGCTCTGATAGAAGTAAGCTGCTGAAGGCTAAAGCTGAGACCTGCCCTCCCTGTGAGCGCTGCCCTGGCAGCTGAATTGGGAGCCAAGATGACTTGGCTCAGTCTCAGGCTTGGGACTATTCAGGGCTGGCCAGGTGGGAGCCAGTTAGGGGGTCAGGAGACACCTGATCTGGATGTGGTGGGATGTGGCTGCCTCCTCTGGCAGTTATGGCTGGAACTTGGCTTTTAAAGATTTTTAATTTCTGTAATTTTATTCTATCAAATCTCTCTCTACCAATTTCCCTCCATCTTTGGAGTTGTTTTTGCTTTTGGACAAGATCTAATGTAACCCAGGCTGGACTGGAACTGGCTATGTATCTAAAGATAACTTTAGCTTCTTCTGCCTCTGCCTCTGAGTACCTGTATGCCACTCTCAGTCACAGAGGTCATCAGGGAGAGTCTGCACCTAGGTGGCTGAGGCAGGAGGATCACTGCAAGTTCTAACCCAACCTGGGCTACATAGTGAGACCCTGACTGAACAAAGGAACAAAGTAGTCCATGCTGGCCAAGCCCGGTAATGCAAGCTTGTGATCCCAGCACCTCGGAGGTTGGAGCAGGATTGCTATGTGCTCAAATACTGGGCTGCGGGTTATCCTCCCCTGCCCATAAGAGGATAAGGCAGAAGAACCGACCAGGAATCCAAGGTCACATTTGGATACACAGTGAGTTTGAGACTACCCTGGGCTACATGACTCAAACAGAAAAACAAACAAACAAAAGAGAAATGAGGCTGGGTGGTGGTGGCTCACACCTTTAGTCCCAGCACTCAGGAGGTAGAGGCAGGAGGATCTCTGTGAGTGTGAGACCAGCCTGGTCTACAAGAGCAAGTTCCAGGACAGCCTCCAAAACCACAGAGAAACCCTGTCTCAAAAAAAAAAAAAAAAAAAAAAAAAAAAAAAAAAAGAAAGAAAGAAAGAAAGAAAAAAAAAAAAAGATACACTGCCTCTGGCCACATGAGGTGGAGAACAAGACATCTTATTGCTCAGATGGGGAAACTGAGGCACAGGAAGGTTAAACTACTACTCAGGGTCACCGTGAGAGCTCGTTGGGGCTTCAGGCCTGGCAGGGTGCAGGAGAGCCCTGGCTGTAGCCATATGGAGCTCTGTGTCCCAGGCAGGCCGGGTGGGACCCCAGCATCAGCCCAGAGGCTTGCCATCAGATCAGACAGTTGGCAAATGCTGAAGTGTATGGTTCAGGGCACACTGGTTCCTTCCAACTCAAGGCCAAGCACAGGTCACTGGAGGCCTCTGGTTACCCGCCGGAGCTGTGAAAAGTGATCCTGGGTGGTTTCGGGACATCTGGGAAATTGACCAGGGAGAACAAATGGCTTTTGCTTCTGAGTGAGATCTGATATGGTGACTGGCGCCTGGGTGCCAGACAGCAGCCTGGGTGGGACCTGGCAGCCCCACAGCAGCAGGTAGGGTCAGGACCATGCCCGGATCCTTGTGTCTAAGTTTAGTGGCACCCCTCTGAATCTCCTCATTGACAGACTTCAGGGCTTAGCCAGGTTCCTCTGAGAGCCTCCTGACCCAGTCTTGACATGCCTGTGCTGGTTCTGACCTCTCCAAGTGCAATCCAGCTCTGTCCTCCAGGCACTTAAACCCATGCCTGAGCCGTCTTCTCTGGTGGACACCTCACAACAAAGGGGACACTGTATAGCTATGGGGACTACATAGGGCTCACTTTCTCATCTGTATCTTTTTCTTTATTTTTAAATTATTTTATTTTATTGGTTTGTTCCTACAAAACCTTAGCTGTCCTGGAACTAGTAGAACAGACTGGTCTGAACACAGATCTACCTACGAAAGGGCTGGGTTTAAAGGTGTGCACCACCACACCCGACCTGCTTTGTTATTTTTGAGGCAGGTTCTTGTATAGCACAGGCTGGCCTACAGTATCAAGAATGACAATGCACTTCTGATCCTCCTACCTCTGTCTCCCAAGGGGCCACCTCACCTAGCTTATGCTCTGCTTCTACCCACTGAGCAGCAGGCTCCATGAGCAGCAGGCTCCACAGGGTTACTGTTGACCTCAGGCATCCTGCAGAAACTCTGGAGCTCTAAGCATAAGGACACTTTGTGTGCCTCTCTGATGTCAGACAAAACCTGAGGGTTTGTCTCCAAAGGTGCCTTGCACCAGCACAGTTGTGGCCACAAACACTACAAACACCAGGGCTATTTCCTGTTTCCCACACCCCAAGTTTAGACAAACACTAACAGGTTGTCTCAGGCTCATATCTATTAACTCTAAAATGAATGGGGTGTGATAGAGATTCAGCCAGCATGGTCTTTCTTTGTCCAGAAAATGAGAAACTAAGGCAGAGGGGAGGGGCTAAGAGAGGAATGGCTCAGCCATTAGGAGCACTTGCTGCTGCTCCAGAGGGCCTGTTCCTAGCACCCAAGGCCAGTGGTGCAGAGTTGCCTGAAACCCCAGCTCCTGAGGATTTGTTGCCTCCTTCTGGCCTCCAAGGGCTCCAGGATACACATGCACACACACATACATATACACAAAAAATTTAATTCAAATAAACTTCTAGATTACATGTAAGAGTGCGCTGTCCTGAGCCCTTGATGTAGGGGTGCAGGGTCTCCCATCGGGGTTTATAGTCTTGCAGACAGCCTGCTGCTTTAACTTTGGCACAGTGGCTATATCTTAATCAATTTAATGTACTTAATCTACTGCTATTTCAACCAGCAATTGTGACTCTCCAGTTACCAACCTGCTTCTCTGGCAGCAGCCCGACTGCCGCAGTCCAGCAGGAATTCTGTTCTCACAGGCACTGGCTCTGTTACTGCTACTAAAGGCAGCTTCACCTAAGTCTCTATCCTTATATTTACAGATAAGACTCAAGAGTCAAAGGCTGAGCTGGGCGGTGGTGGCGAAAGCCTTTAATCCCAGCACTTGGGAACTAGGGAGGCAGACAGGTAGATCTCTGTGAGTTCAAGGCCAGCAAGGCCAGCCTGGTCTGTGCCTGATCAAGTGCCAGGACAGCTTTCAAAGCTACAAAGAAAACCTGTCTTGAAAAACAAAAAAGGAAAGGAAAAAAGGAGAAGAGTCAAAAGCTGGGGTGAAACCCTACTGGCTCAGAGAGGTTGAGTAGCTAGCCTTCTCTGCTTGCTGACATCTCCCAAAGAGCATCCTTCCGCTCAGCCAAACAGAAAAAGCTGTGCCACTCCAAATCCCTCTCTACTCCTTTCGGTGTGTCTCTCTATCTCTTCTAGTGCCCCCTGATGCTCTATAATCACTTTCTGTCAACTAGCAGCAAATTCGGAGTTCACAGTATGATCAAATAGCCCCCAACACCTGCCACTCTAGACTTACAGCCCACTTTGCAAGGATGTAAAGTACACAGCTTGGTTTCTAAGCATTGTCAGTCTTTAGGGCTCTTATTATGAAGTGAGGATTGTTGTTTCCATAGGTAAACTCCAAATGTGGATTAAAATGTCTCTGAAGAGGGCTGGTGACATGGCTCATCAGGGAAAGGTGCTTGCAGCCAAGCCTGACAATCTGAGCTCAAACCCCAGGACCCACATGGTGAAGGTGGTATGTCCCTACCTGGGGAGGTGTGAGCAAATATCTACTAACCCCAGATGGAGACCAAACACAGACCAAAGTACCAATACCAACTTGGTGAAACACAGTTTTATTTGGGTCACCTACAGGAGCAGAAATGACTCACAGACAG